AGACCAAAACATTATGTCTCAAGAAGAAGAACAGCTCAAAGGCTCAGAGCCAATACTTCTAAGCGACCAAGAGATAGCCAACCTATCAGATGCACAGTTCAAAAGACTGGTGATCAGGATGCTCACAGAACTGGTTGATTTTAGTCACAAATTAGAGGAACAAATGAAGGCTAAACTAATTGAAATGAAGGAAAATGCACAGGGAACCAATAGTGATGGAAAGGAAACTGGGACTCAAATCAATGGAGTGGACCAGAAGGAAGAGAAAAACATCCAATCAGAAAAGAATGAAGGAACAAGAATTCAAAAAAATGAGGAGAGACTTAGGAACCTCCAGGACACCTTTAAACATTCCAATATCCGAATTATAGGGGTACCAGAAGGGGAAGAGGAACAGTCACTAGTGGAAAACTTATTTGAACAAATAATAAAGGAGAAATTCCTCAATCTGGCAAAGGCAATAGACTTCCAGGAAATCCAGGAAGCTCAGAGAGTCCCAAAGAAGTTGGACCCAGGAAGGAACACACCAAGGCACATCATAATTATATTAGCCAAGATTAAAATGAAGGAGAGAATCCTAGAAGCATTAAGAGATAGGGGGACAGTCACCTACAAAGGAGTTCCCATCAGACTGTCAGAGGATTTCTCAAAAGAGACCTTACAGGCAAGAAGGGGCTGGAAAGAAGTATTCCAAGTCATGAAATCCAAAGACCTACATGCAAGATTGCTGTATCCAGCAAAGCTTTCCTTCAGAATGGAAGGACAGATAAAGTACTTCTCAGATAAGGTCAAATTCAAGGAGTTCATCACCACCAAGCCCTTATTATATGAAATGTTAAAGGGACTTAGTCTAAGAAAAAGAAGATAAAAAGATGAACAGTGAAAGGACAGCAAACTCACAGTTATTAAGAACCACACCTAAAACAAAAGCAAACTAAAAGGACAGCTAGATCAGGAGGAGAACCATAGAAATGAAGATCTCATGGAGGGTTAGCAACAGGGGGTAGGAGGAGGAGAAGGGGGGAGAAGGTACAGAGAATAAGTAGCATAGAGTTAGGTAGAAAATAGGGGGGAGGGCAAGAATAGTATGGGAAATATAGAATCTAAAGAACTGTGACACATGGACATAAACTAAAGAGGGGAATGGTGGGGGAGGGGGTGTGCAGGGTGGAGGGGAATGAAGGGGGGAAATGGGACAGCTATAATGGCATAATCAATAAAATATATTAAAAAATAAAAATAAATTTAAAAAAGATAAATAATTTGATATATTCACTGCATACCAAATATAAGGAACCAGCTGTGGATGCAACAGCTACCAATAGTATTTTTAGCTTCCTATTTAAAATGTTTTACTTTTTAAAAAAATATAAAAGATGAACAATATTAATATAAGATAGTTTCAAGATTAGCTTCATAGCTCAGCTATTTAAAAATCCTGTTTGGATATGCATGACCTTTTGATATGGTTCCAGTTAAAAACTATAATTAGTGTGTTCATAATTTAATCTAAATAGAGGGAAGGAAAGTTTTTTAAAATTTTATTTAGTTATTTTTCAAGTATAGTTTTTTGTCTATTTCTACCATCCCAGCCCCCCCCCCCCCCGTCCTCCTCCCTATGTCCTTCATACTTGTTCCTCCAAATCCCTCCCCCTTTTCCCCCTTAAATTCCCTTCCCTCTCCCCTCTGGTCACTGTCCCCTTGTTCTCTATTTCAGTGTCTTGGTTTTTATTCTGCTTGCTTGTTTGTTTTGTTCTTTAGCTTCCTGTCAAAGGTGAGATCATATGGTATTTGTCTTTCAACCCCTGGCCTATTTCACTCAGCATAATGCTTTCCAGTTCCGTCCATGTTATTGCAAAGGGTAGTAGCTCCTTCTTTCTCTCTGCTGCATAGAATTCCATTGTGTATATGTACCACAATTTTTTGATTTATTCATTTACTGATGGGCTCCTAGGTTGCTTCCATCTCTTGGCTATTGTAAATTGTGCTGCTATGAACATTGTGGTGCATAGTTTCTTTGATATTGATGTTTTAGGATTCTTAGGATATAATCCTAGCAGTGGAATTGCTGGGTCAAAAGGCAGGTCAATTTTTATTTTTCTGAGAAAATTCCATACTGTTTTCCATAATGGTTGTACCAGTCCGCAGTCCCACCAACAGTGAACTAAGGACCCCTTTTCCCCACACCCTCTCCAACATTTGTTGTTGGTTGCTTTGTTTATGATAGCCATCCTGACCGGTGTAAAGTGGTATCTCATTGTGGTTTTAATTTGCATCTCTCTGATAGCTAATGATATTGAGCATCTCTTCATGTGTCCCTGGATATTCTGTATGTCCTCCTTGGGGAAGTGTCTGTTCAAGTCCTTTTCCCATTTTTTAATTGGGTTAGATGTCTTCTTAAAGTGGGGTCGTGTAAGTTCTTTATATATTTTGGAGATTAAACCTTTGTCTGAGGTATCATTGGCAAATATGTTTTCCCATACAGTTGGTTGTCTTTTTAATTTAATACTGTTTCTTTAGCCAGGCAGAAGCTTTTTATTTTGATGAGATCCCATTCATTTATTCTTTCCTTTATATTCCTTGCTCTGGGGGACATATCAGTAAAAATGTTGCTGTGTGAAATATCTGAGATTTTCTTGCTGATGTTTTCCTCTAGGACTTTAATGGTGTCACGGCTTATATTTAAGTCTTTTATCCACCTTGAATTTATTTTGGCGTATGGTGTAAGTTGGTGGTCAAGTTTCATTTTTTTGCATGTAGCTGTCCAGTTCTCCCAACACCATTTGTTGAAGAGGCTATCTTTACTCCATTTTATGTTACTGCCCCCTTTGTTGAATATTAATTGACTGTAGAGAGTTGGGTTGATTTCTGGGCTCTCTGTTCTGTTCCATTGGTTTATGTGCCTGTGTTTATGCCAGTACCAGGCTGTTTTGATTACAGTGGCCTTGTAATACAGTTTGATATCAGGTATTGTGATCCCTCCTACTTTGTTCTTCTGTCTCAAAAGTGCAGCTGCTATTCGGGGTTGTTTATGGTTCCATATAAATTTTTGAAGTGTTTGTTTTATGTCTGTGAAATATGCCATTGGTACTTTAATAGGTATTGCATGGAATCTGTGTATTGCTTTGGGTAAAGGAAAGTTTTTTGAGAACTCAGTTGAACATCTGTTTTGTACCAGATACTTTATGTATTACATTTAATCTTCACTAAGATATTTGTGGTTGGTATTATTTTCCCCATTTTATAGATGAGTAAATTGAGCTAGAGAGTTTTCACAATAAGTGGCTAAACTGGAATTCAGACCTGTTTGACTTTAAAGCCCATGCTCTTTGTACATGTTATCCCTTTGTTATGAACTAATTTGAAGATAGGATTTCTTGTGAATAACATATCTTAATCTTTCTATCTTTCACTTTTCACACTTGTAAAATTTGTCTTTTTGGGTTTCTGTTGAACTTTTTATAAAAGTGATAAATGCTTGTATACATTTAAACATGCAGAAAAGTATGAAGATGAGTAAGTCTAAAATTTCACCAACCATAGGTACCCTTGATATTTGAGTTTTTATAGTACATTTTTAAAGATTGTTTATTTATTTTTAGACAGAGGGGAAGGGAGAAAGAGAGGGAGAGGAACATCAATGTGTGGTTGCCTCCCATATACCCCCAACTGGGGACCTGGCCTGCAACCCAGGTTTGTGCCCTGACTGTGAATCGAATTGGCAACACTCTGTTTTGCCGACCTGCGCTCAATCCACTGAGCCACACCAGCCAGGGCTATAATGCATTTTTTAAACAGATTTTATTTATTTATCTTTAGAGGGGAAGGGAAGGAGAGAGGGAGAGAAATATCAGTGTATGGTTGCCTCTGGTGCATCCCCTGCTGGGAACTGGCCTGCAACCCAGGCATGTGCCCTGACTGGGAATTGAACCTCGGTCCTTTGGTTTGCAGACCTGTGCTCAAACCATGAGCTACATCAGCCAGGGCTATAATGCATTTTTAATATAATTGAAGTCACAGGGTATAACTTTAAATCTTGAATTTTTACCAGACATTATAATGTAAACATTTCTTTGACAAAATATATTACGTAATATGTATATAGTATAATGTATCAGAATTAAAGGGCCTACTCCCTTTTAGACATTTTTAGCTACTCCCTTTAGCTTTTATTTTTTCCCTTTAAAATAATTGAGGTGAACATTCTTGTACATACTAATCAAGATGTTGCCTGATTTCTCCACTAACCACCTTTCTCCACATGCACATTTACACATCCACACAGTCCATCCTGCCCAACACTAAAGATACAGTGGCAAATGTGTCCATGAGCTAACTCAGATTAGTCTTTGTCCTTCTGTCTGTCCTTCCTTCCTTCCTGTTTTTTTCCCATTAGTATGCTTATAGTTTTTTGAAGTACAATTAGGGTTAGTTGTTTAAGTTTGCTTTTAGTTTTAGGTGTTTCCCCTCTTCTCATTCTTTCTCATTTTATTTTATTTTTTATATATGTAGAGTGCTAACATGCTTTCCAAAGTCAAAACTATTCAAAGCCAACCCTTCCTCCTGTATACTTTTTCTGCTCTCTCCTAATCAAGGATTGTCAGTCCTCCTGCTACCATTAATACTAGGTTTTTTGTTGTTGTTTGTTTGTTTCTGCATCATTGTCACCAGCACACAAGCCTCACCATTAAACAAAATAGTCCCTGTCTGGTGTGGCTAACCGCATTGAGTGCTGGCCTGTGAACCAGAGCTTGATTGATTACATATGGAAGTATTCAAACGTATGACAGAAACACCGTAACTTTCTATGAGAGAACTACAGACAAGAGAGATAAAAACAAAAATAGTAAAGCCATGTTGAAAAACATGAATTAAAGTAGAGCCTGTCACTGTGGTTTAGGTTTCTTAGTGCAGCTACATTTTTAGTGTTCAGTATATCTGCAAGAATGACTCTACCATAACCGACACTTGAATAAATGTCACTATGTATTCTCTTTCAGATTTACCAAAAATTTATCTCCTGACAAGATAAATCTAAGTACCCTTAAAGGAGAAGGTGAACTGAAGAATTTGGAGTTGGATGAAGAGGTGCTCCAGAATATGTTAGATTTGCCAACATGGCTTGCTATCAACAAAGTTTTTTGTAATAAAGCATCTATTAGGGTGAGACTGATATCTATGAAAAGCATTTTCTGTTTTTACTTTTTAATTTTGTGTTAGGTAATTCTGTAAAAAGTATTTTTATTAATATAGTTTAAAAAGACACATACCTTTGTCTAAATAATTACATGAATATATGCTTTATAAATTTAGTCATATACTAATATATTAGTTATTAATTTATAGATTTTAATGCTCACTTAAAATTTAATGTTATTAACATTTAACTACATTTATTTATAGTTTCTTAATAAAGTAATTGGTTAAATTTGGCACATTGAAACTTTTTAATAAGATTTGCTGTCAAATGCAGCATCTTAAATTTGTGTTTATCTTAAATGAAGACATTTAAAAATTATTATTATTACTACTTATTAAAACTTATTTCTACTTGCTTTGACACTAATCATGGCACTTCTTGCTCTTAAAGACTTGGTTTGGCCTTGGCTAGGTGACTCATTTGGGTAGAGTGTCATCTGTGTACACCAAGGTTGTAGGTTCAGTCCTTGGTCAGGGCACATATAAGGACCAACTAATGAATGCATAAATAAATGAAACAACAAAAACCGATGTTTCTTTCTCTCTAGAGATCAATAAAATCATACATTTAAAAACAGTCTGACTTAGTTTGAAAGTCTGCTTAGTAGAAATAGTGAATACTAATTTGTCTCATAAAGTTAAAATTGGGCACCAAAAGAAAAGATAGTGGAAAAAAGATAGTCTCTTTCAATTTTTTGTTCTATCCTTCATAAACCTAAGTATCTATAAGGATGTGATATTTTAGTGCAGGTTATGTTTGAATATTATTTACTTGATATTGCCTACATTTTATAACAGTGGTCTCATTTTTGTACTTACGTTGAATATTTGTAAAAAGATTGGTCAGAATTTCAGAATAAAAAAATTTGTTAAAATGAACAAAGTACTAATTGTGCTTTGCTGGGAAGTCTTAGCTAAAATTCTGAAATTAAAATGTGTTTTAAGGACTGGAAAGACAAGATATTTAAGGCAACCTGAAATTTTTACTTAAAAAGATGACTAAGAAAATAGGACTAGTCATTTATGTAATACAGGTACAATTAATTTTAAGAGTATGCATGAATTGCTTATGTAATATTTTGCAACTTAAGAAATAAGTCATCTGATACAATTTGATATGTTTTTCACTATAGTAAAAAAGAAACTGTGTTGGTTACTTTTTTACATTTTTTAATGATTTGTTTTAAAGCAAAAATTTTTTTGTTTTTAGATCCCATGGACAAAACTGAAAACACATCCCATCTGTTTGGTGAGTACTGAATTGCCTCAGAAATAAACATTTATATAAGCATATAATCTAACTACTCCTTTAATATTAACACATCCTGGGATTAGAAACTGCGCTTCTATAAAATCTCAGCAGTATATGGCTACTTCTTAGAGTTGTTCTCTCATACCCCTATACTACAACTTTTCTACCAGATAGTGCCTTGAGAAGGACTAAGCACATTGTTTTCCATTTTGATACTCGTCTTTTTAGGCCTTTAGAGAGACATTTAAAATGGCTCTGCTCATTTACTGTTTACTTTGCTGGTAAAGAAATGAAAGATAATATGGTCTTAAATAATATACATAAAATAAAAATAAAATATCTAATTGTTTGCTTTTTAAATGTATTTTTATTAGTCCCTAGATAAAGTAATAATGGAAATGAGTACATGTGAAGAACCACGAAATCCTAATGGCCCATCACCAATTGCAACTGCTTCAGGACAGAGGTAAGCTGTTTCCATTAATCTGTATGACTGGCAAAGGGAAATTTTTCCTATGGTCATCTCTAATATCTGCAGTAATGTAACATAAAACCTCTCCCATCAAACATTGTAGAGTTTTAGTATGTATGTTACAAAAGTAGCAGAATTGATTTTTAGCCTCTTTTATTTATCTTGCTTTTCTCAATATTTAAATAGTAATTATCAACCAAAGGCAGAGCAGAAACAGAAAATGAAAGTAGAAGAGCTTAGGTATACTATAAATCAGATGCATATAATTTATTCTACACATTGGTAAAGAGTTAAATTGATGCCTAAAAAATTATAGACCTTTTAGATTAGTCTAAAAACTATTAAATAAAAATGCTTCCAAATTTGATTTTGATAGCCAAGTCAGGTGCTAATTACAGTAGAAACATGACCCATTTTGCAAAGTTTTCTGGGAACGTTAGAATAGTTGTTGAAAAATAGATCTTTAAGAAATACTGTTTATTCTGCATTCAGTGTGTTTGGATCTGGTGTTATACATTATTTCCTTAAGGCAGGATTTTGCACCATTTTAGTTTGTGCAGTTATTCATGTTAAATGTTCACATAGGTTTAATGAGATTGGTACCTCCTCCAGTTGTACAACTGGGCCACTGTGAATATTTATAGTATTCTAGGTACAGAGTAAAACCAGTGAAAATACTCCTCCTGAGGATGAAGATGCACATATACACATACACACACTTACACCATCCTCTCTCACCAAGGTTGAACCACCTTTACATCAGCATATTCTATCAGATTTATAATTTATATTTGCATTACAGATAATAGTGACTGGGAAAAGAGCTTCCACATGAACTTCTTTGTAGTTTTTGCATTGTCCAGCAATTTATGATTTTAATGTATATTTTCAGGTTTGATAGAGTAGATTAGAGCAGTTGGTCTTTAAATTAGCTAGAGTCAGAAAAAATTAGAAAGTAGAGTTGTTTATAAGATTATTGAAAGCAACAAAGATCAGGAAAATTGCTATTAATGAAAGACTTACTTTAATTAGATGAGGCAGAAATTAGATATTTTGTCACTGTGTGCTAAATGTGGTTGATAGTGTTCTTCCTAATTTACATTTTTATAGTATCGATTAGCTTTATATTCTGGCTTTGTAATTATATGATGGCAATTCTTGTACTTTGATGCATGGCAGTATGGTTAATCTGTTTCCACATTTTTCATACTTGCTTGATTATAACAATCACTTAGGGTGTTTACTAATTCTGCAGAGTCTTTTAAGCTGTTTTTTTTTTTAAATTACAATTCATTAGGTTTATAATGGTTGTCAAGAAGATGAATATGGGCCCTTGCCAGGTAGCTCAGTTGGTTAGAGCATTTGTCCTGATATACCAGGGTTGTAGGTTTGAGCCCTGGTTAGAGCACATACAAGAATCAATCAATGAATTCATAAAGAAGTGGAACAACAAAACAACAAATCAATGTTGTTTTCTCTCTTTCTAAAGGAAAGGAATATGAATATGTAATTTTCCAATTCTTTAGAGTCATGCAACTTAGGAAACATTGATCTATTTGAGTTTGTTTTTAGCTAAAATATTAAAATAGAGGGATGCTAGTAATTAATAGGCTTAGAAGAAACTTACTTGTAAACAGGAATTTTACCTTTAAGTTATAATGGATGACATAACTAGAAACATGTGGACTCAGTCATTGATACTGGCATCACCCTGCTGATGGTAAGTCCTGGAAAACAATTGTAACACTTTTTAATGTGCATACACATAGGGATGGATATTCTAAAGGGTATTCCTGTAAAATTATTTCAGAAATATTCTTTCCACTCCAGGAATATTTCTACCTAAGTGACTGATAATTGTCCTTAGAATCAAAGCACCTCCTCTTTAGGATGCTGATGAGTTCTTACTCTTTGATTCTCTAAACCCAAGGTAGATGGTCACCTCTTTTCATAACAAAACTACATCAGGCAAGCCAAGAACTGTATAAGTTACTACGTATATACTGTTTCACTTAAGAATCACAACCACCTTTAAAATAGGTATTATTTTCATTTTACAAATGAGGAAACAGGCTCACAGACTTTCAATAGTGTTAGTATACTACTAATAATACTATAAATAATAGTTATATTTTTATGAAGTATCAGAAGAGATGGACCGTTTGGTTAATATGCATTACCTCATGTAACCTACAGATAACCTACAAAGTATTACCTGATTTAAAAGATAAGCCAGGCCCTAGATGGGTAGTTCAGTTGTTTGGAATATTGTTCTGATATACCAAGGTTGCAGGTTTCATCCCCATTCAAGGTACATGTTAGGAGCAGCCAACAAGTGCATGGGTAGTGGAACAGCAGACTGATGTTTCTCTCTTTCTCTCCCCCTTGTCTTTCTTTCTTTCAAGTCAGTAAATGAAAAATTTTCAAAATACATTATAAAAAGTTATATGAAGCTTAAAAAGATTAAGTGATTTACTTATTTAATAAGGTATTAAATAAAAAAACACAGCCGCAGATATACTGGAGGCATATACATGATCCATATGATGATGGGTTCATTTTTATTCATGTTGGCTTTGAAATGTGTGAGAGCAAGCCTGGTGGAGGCATGTGGTAGACATTTGAACTTTACAGTCTGAAATGAGAGAGGTTTGGATGGAGACATAGATTTAGGAATAATGGTCATATTGATGATGATTGAAGTAATGTGCCAGTTGGGCAAACTTTCTCCACCCCTTCTGCCAAAATATATTGATAGTCTATATTCCAGTTACACTGCACTATTCATCATTCTTGAAATATAACCTCTGCTTTCCTACTTATATCTATGACTTTACTCATGCTTTTTCCTATTCCGAGATTTCCCTTCCTTCCCATCTCTCTCTGTGGAAAGTTCATTTTTTTTTCTAGATATATTTCCCCCTAGTTATGAGCAATTTCTTCCTCTACTAAGTATGCTGATGATTTCTTTAAAAAACACCTAATTACAGATAGCCTCATGTTTTAGTTACTAGGGTCTCTTTTTTCTTCCCCAAGTAACTTGTGTGCCCTATAATGCCATAGCTCTATTTTGACTTTCCTTATGTTGTAGTGTTGTTCACATAGTAGATGCACAATAAATACTTGTTAAATAGAATTAGAAAATGTGAACTTTTTCTTACCTTATTCCTGAATTACAAGATTATATTCCAACTGGACTCTGTATTCTTTGTGTCAAGAATTTAGCTCTCTTATTTATGTTATAGATGCCAATTGTCCAGACTAATGCTTTCTGAGAAACTAATTATAAAAATTTAATTTGTGGAATGACCTCCAGTTTTAAAAATTGTTCATCATTTTGAGATGAGCACTTTTATAACTTACATGTAATCAGGTTATGCTATTAACAGAAATTGTTTTTAAAAACAAAATTAATAATAATATGATAGTTTGTATACTCGTGTGAGAATATTAATGTGTAATTTTTCTTTAAATGATATTTTTGGGGCTTTAGCACATTATATTTTGTTTGCTGTACTTTTCCAGTGAATACGGTTTTGCTGAAAAAGTAGTTGAGGGAATTACTGTTTCTGTAAATTCTATTGCCATCCGCATTGGAGCAAAAGCCTTCAATGCATCCTTTGAGCTTTCCCAGTTACGGATCTACAGTGTAAATGCAAACTGGGAGCACGGAGATTTAAGGTTCACTCGTATTCAAGATCCACAGAGAGGAGAGGTAAAGATTTTTTTCTTTGTTTGAAAACTATTTTAGTCACTGATAAATAAAAGATATTTAAACTAATTACTTCTATGGTTACCTAGATTCGCATACTACTAGATTTACTCTTGCCTTTTAACTGTATTTTTCTCTGTTTTACTCTTAATCATTATCAAATGTATGTATATAATGTTTTTATCATGATAAATCTTTTAACTTATAGAGTTAATAAGTCCTAGTTTAACTTTACAGCTACTCAGAATTAAATTTTACATTTATAAAACTAAAATATGTCTTTTAAACTCTTGGTCACATGCTTCAGATACTCTGTACTTTATATTAAAATTAAATTACTTAGAATAAAAGCATTAACAGCTTTACAGATGATGAATATAATTATGAGAATGTGTTACTGAATTTGTTGGAAGTAGACAATATTTTAAAAAATAGTTACTGACTTTATCTAGAATGTCATGAAAATTAGTGAAAAGGTACATTTCTTTTTTTTTTTAATCTACATTTTTCTTGTGCAAGTGAAGCTAATCTCTGTGTTCTCTTTAGGTTTTGACATTTAAAGAAATAAATTGGCAGATGATTCGAATAGAGGCAGATGCTACCCAAAGTTCACAACTTGAAATTATGTGTGCTCCTGTTCGATTAATAACCAACCAATCAAAAATCAGAGTCACACTTAAAAGAAGAGTAAGTTAGCAGGGTTTTCTTTTTGATTCATGTGATAACTGTTGCAACTGACAGGAAATTCAAAATAATTTTTAGGCAAAACATTGGCGTATTAAGACAATGCAAAAACAAAAGTAAATGTAGTAGCTTAAGCAATATTTGAAGAAACCTACTGTAATATTAAACTTTTCAGTTCTCTAGATTTAGTACTCAGATGTTTATTTTTTATGATTCAGTAGATTTCTCAGTTGTCAGATATCTGTTGAATATTACAGTTTTAACAATTTTATTTCTACTGTTGAATCACTTAGGACTCGGTAAACTTTAGTAACCAAAACTACTAGCTTTAGAAGGTTATTAAGGTATGACTGGTAATTAAGATAAATAAAGAGGATAGGTACTTAAGAATGTCAGAAGTGAGAGCTTATTATGGGTTGTGATGAAATTTAATGACAGAGTAATGACTGATTTTAAGCTTGACTTAAAGTCTCAACATGTTTTGCATCACTAAGACACAAATTACTATATTAAATTAAATTGGAAAAAAGTATTTTTAGAATATGTAGTTTTAAAATAGCATTTTAGTTTTTAATTAATGTTAATGCCCCTTGTTACTGCTAGAATCAGTTGAATTAACATAGGGAATTAAACAATTTATCAGTTATAAATACAAAATTAAATCATATAAGTACTTATACCTATATTCCTTTTACCTGTTTAGGTACAGAAATTTGCTGGTCTTTTTTACCACTGTATCACCAATATTAGGAGATATTTTTTCTATGCTTTTGAAACTCATTGAATATTGAGTGAATGAAGGAAGGACCCATATTAACTCCATTCAAAACTTAAATTTTTTAAAAAGCAAGTACATTATAAGTTTTATTTCTTGGCTTAATTTTATGAATCAATTTTTTTGACAGTTAAAAGACTGCAATGTCATTGCAACAAAGTTAGTTCTGATATTGGATGACTTATTATGGGTTTTAACGGATTCTCAGTTGAAGGCTATGGTGCAGTACGCAAAGTCTCTTAGTGAAGCAATAGAAAAATCAACAGAACAAAGGAAGAGTATGGCTCCTGAACCGACACAGGTAAGCTGTTAACAGGAAAAAACAAAACCTTACTTTACGTGTTAATGGTTTAAAAATCAGAATGGATAGTTTTATGTGAAATAGATTGTAATACTCATTGAGTCCAAGATTCTCCTTGTATATCTTATTATATACTTTTACATACTTGATACCTATATGAAAACATGTATTAATTGTATTTCTATCTCTATAGTTCTTATTTGTTTGGAGGTAGGTCTGTATTAGGCACTAGAGTTAATGATAACAAAAATCCTTGATATCTCCTTTCAGGAAGTTAAAAATATACAATTTTCAAATTACTAAAGTAAAGACAAAAGGGAAAAAACCCCTGGGGAATGATAGTCCAGGGTAGGGGGTGAGAATTAATAATGCAGAAAGTGGAAGCCCTGGGGAATTGCTGCAGTTGGACACAAAACCGTAGAGTTGTCTGACAGCTGGTGCACAGATGGAAGAAATACAGTGACCACTTTCTTAAAATTAGAAGCTGTCCCTGTTTTGTCTGAAGAGTAAAGGTTTTCTAGAAATCTTTCCCAGTACTAAATTCTGAGAATTTAACATGAAAATGTTAGTAGAAGGAATGTTGAAAATCCCATTGTATAGTGTTTTTTGATAATTTTATAAAGAGTACAATTGAATTTTTACATTAAATGTCAGTCGAGGAAAATGAATCAGGAGGCTTTGCCAGACTTGAATAATGAAGTTTTATTCAGGGATCTTAAATAAACTGCAACTTGAGAAACAGTACCAGGCCGTGCCTAGAGAGTTCAAAAGCAAGAGAGAAGTTGAGAGCTTTTATAGTAAAAAACATACTTGAGAAGAACCATTTCTCCATTCTTAGCTTCTGGGTTGGTGGAAAAAAGGTAATCTTTGAGATGCCGGGTGGTCTGGACAATGAAAGTCTTTCCTAAGTATGTCGGGTGGATAATGGATACGTTTGGTCCCAAGTTCTTCAGATTGTGATCTGTAGGATTTATGTACATCCAGGCATTGACCCACAGCAAGAAGTTTGAAAGTTATGCCATCAGGCTAGTTCAACTAAAATAAAATAGTTTCTTGATAATTCTGGTCACTCTGATTTAATTAATTTTGTTAGCTGACTATAGTGACTCTGTTTTGTTTCTGTGATCTTCCTCACTACCCTCAGTAAAAACTTAGGTGTTATTGTGAAATCATACTTCTGTGAAGCTACAGTACTTCTTTGGAAGCTGAGGAATATATTTCAGGTTTATAGCTTGGTGATTTGGCTTATACGTCAGAATGCACACATTTAGGCTTTCCCGTGTCTATCAAATTGGCATTATTTACAGCCTGCCTCCTTTGTCATAAGGTGTAGGGCTAGACACTGGGTATAAAAAACTGAATAGTGTTTGACCTGACCCTAAAAGATGTCAGAGTATAACTCAGAAGAAATCACTTCAGTTTAACATAAATGCTAGAGTGCAGAATTAAAAAGAGGGGTGAGGCGCAGAAGTTTTTAGTCAGCTGCTCACAAAGTTTGGAAAGATCTCACTAAGGATGATGAAATTAAGTCTTAAAATGCATAGGTGTTTATAGGTAAGGGAAAGGGTATTTCAGATGAGGAAAAAGAATCTGCAAAAGTGTGGTGATGTTAAAGAGCATGATAAAGATAAGGAGTTTGGTGTTACTAGAGCAGTGATTTTGAGAGCAAGCTACATGTGCCGGTGGGATATATAACTGTCCAGGTTTTAGGAAATCGGGGACCTCATCTTCCTTTTGATGCGTACTCTTTCTTAAACTTGGTCTACCTGAGAATGCTTTTGTGTTAAGATGCCAGACTGACTCCCTTTCCACAATTACTCTTATTCTATTTTACAGTGAAAGACATTTTTCTTATTTGTTCTTATTCTTACTGTAATGAATTTGTCCAGCAAGCAAAACATAACAAAACAAAACAAAACAGCGTCTGGAAACAACACAGGCAATTTGAAATATTGCTGTGCTTATCAGAAGTGAATAACCAGGGGTAAATAACAAGTTAGGTGATTTTCACTTGTTCACTTTCAACACATTTGAAGGAAGACCTAATCAATGTCAGTTTTTAGGTTATTAAAAATAATTTTTCATCATTATTTTGTGAATGTTAGAATGTAGCTTGAAGGAGTTGAAAGAATAATGTTACATTGCTAAAACAAAACTTACTTTATTCCAATCTACCTGTTTATGTGATCCAAGTTTTTCAGAGCTTTTCACCATAAAAACAAATAGGTAGAGAATTGATGGTAAGCCCCGTGTCATTCTACCAGTAATATTTATTCAATAAAAATTTGTCATAATTTTCTGGGAACAGAGCACTGGACTGTAGCAACGAATAGAACTTTCCTGGGCAGGTAGTCTGGGTTTAGTAGAAGAGTGTGGTGACCACAGCATGACATGTGTTATATGTTGAAGAATTTGGAATTTTTTCTACAGCCATGTTGTAGCTCATGGAAGTTTTTAAATAGGAAAGGACAGTCAAATATGGCATGGGGGTACTGTAGAGAATGGACAGAAAAAGAAATGTCAGAGGAGGGGTGGACTTGAACCTCCGGTAATAGTTTTAAAGAAGAAATATAAGCTAAATTGGTGAGATTAGCAGGGTCTTTTCATCAGTTGAGGGTGAAGAAGAGGAACAGTTGAGGACTTTTCAAATCAAAATCGGTAGTTTCATTAGCCAATAATGGGATTGCACAGAAAGAAACAAGTTTGATTAAGGAAGGGAAAGCTAAGAAAAGTAAGGAGTTCTTTTTTGGAGTTGAAAAACAATTAGAGAAGTATAGGAGGTAATATTTTACAATTTTGCCATCATAGACATGAATAGTGGTCTGTTAAAGCTTGCAGTGATGATTTAGATAGCTTAGGGTGTCATTAATGGAGATGGTAGTTGAAATTAAACAATAGACAAGGTGTTGATGTTACCATAGCTCTTGTTTATACAATGTGCAGGTATGTTTATATAAAATAGAATACAGATTGGGGAACTAGATAAAGGTACAGGAAAACTAGGAAACTAGGAAGAAGCATAAAATTCTATAATCTTACCATTATAACAAAATAAATGTTAGCATTTTGAGGTATTTTCTTACAGATTTTTCTGCCTAGGCATCTCCATTTTCCCTCTAGTTTTGGTAAAGATGTAGTAAGTGGATATATACAGTGTTCTTCCATGTTGTTAGTCTTTGTAATTACTATTTTTTTGGTCTCTGTAATACTTAACTTCAGCATTCACATTACCGTGGAGTTTCTTCCTTGGCTGGTGGTTGTCACATCACTACTTCAGGCAGAATGAAGAACGGGTTAGAGAGTGAAGTAGTTACAGCTCAGCTTTACAATTTGTGAGCCAGCTCTTAACATAAATATTTGCTTATCTTGATCCTTTCCTTCTGTAAGAGAGAAGGAGGACTACATTCAGAATTATTAACCGCACAGCAAAAGAGTTTATCGTGACCTGCTTTTTTCTCCAAACTCCTGAATCTACCACAGTATTAAGAGAGGGGTTTGTAGAGAGACAAATGTTTGTTTTTTTTTAATTTGTGTCAGTATTTTCTTGATGAATAAGAGAGAAAACATGATTAAAGAAATACAGGAGAGTGTTTGCTTTCAAAATAGTGTTATTATAGATATAAATACTAATCTCTTAATGTTTTAAAGTAGATAGGGAAAAACTTAAGAATGGTTTTTCTGATGGAAATGAGTTTTAACAATCAAAAAGTTTTACTTGAGCCCCTAATATTATGTTTTGTTTTTTAAAATTATATCTTATTGATTGTGCTGTTATATTTGTCCTGATTTTTCCCCCTTTGCCTCACTTCCACCCAGCACCCCCCCCAACTTCATCAGGCAATTCCCTACACCATTGTTCATGTCCATGGATCTTGTGTATCAGTTCTTTGGCTACTCCATTTCCTATACTGTACATTCCCATGGCTATTCTGTAATTTCTGATTTGTACTTCTTAATATTCTCACTGCCTCACCTATTCCACCACAGCCCACTCCCACCTGGCAACCATCAAAATGCTTTCTGTGTCCATGATTCTGTCTCTTTTCTTCCTGTTTGCTTACTTTGTGTTTTAGATTCAGTTGTTGATAGATTTGTATTTATTGCCATTTTATTGTTCATAGTTTTTATCTTCTTCTTCTTAAATAAATCCCTTTCACATTTCATAGATTATTGGTCTGATGATGATGAACTCCTTTAGTTTTTTCTTGTCTGGGAAGCTTTTTATCTGCCCTTAGATTCTAAATGATAGCATTGCTGGGTGGAGGTCCCTGCTGTAGGTCCCTGCTTTTCATGACTGAGTATTTCTTGTCAGTCCCTTCCCTTCTTTTGAGAAATCAACTGACAGTCTTATGGGAACCCCCCTGTAGGTAACTACTATTTTTCTCTTGCTGCTTTTAAGATTCTCTCTTTTATCTTTAACCTTTGGCATTTTAATTATGATGTGTCTTGGAGTGGGCCTGTTTGTGTCCATCTTGTTTGGGACTCTGGGTTGAGCCTCTGGTATTAATGGCTTCACATTGAATATAGGTTTCATTTTCAAATTCTATATAGTTTTTGAGTTTGAGTTTTATTCCTATGTAATTGAGAAAATATTTAAGGAAAACTGAGTTATTGATATAAAAGAAAACACATTAGCGTATTTTTTAATACTTTATTCTTACAACTATATTAAGTCTTATTGTTTGGGAAGTTTCAAGCATATAACTTGCAGTGATGATGCAGTTTTGAATCTTTTAGAGCTCTACAGCAGCCCCGTCTACGCAGCAGGTGAAGACACCACAGACTTCAAATGCTCCTGATCTGAATGACGCAATTGTGAAGCTATTCAATGACTTTGATGTTAAAGAAACCTCCCATCATTTAGTGATTTCTCATCTAGATCTACACATATGTGATGATATTCATGCTAAAGAAAAAGGTAATTCAAGCTGCTTATTTTAAACTATTTTGTTTTTTCTAGAATTTACTGTAAAATTGGATTATTATATGTAATATATAGTATGTACTGTAACCGGTTATAATGTTGTCATTCATAAGAGACACATGCCTGAAAGGTATAATGTTCAACGTCATAGATTGCAGTACGTACATCAAGCTCCATAGAGACAGTGCTGGGGCAAGTGTGAGCTGGCCCAGCACTGAGCAACTCTGCTTCCTGTGGCAAAGTAGTTAAACCTGGGCAAAGGAGAACTTAAAAGACGAGAGGCAAAATGCCATTGTATGCTTTCTTATGCAAACTTGCCAGTAGGAGCACAAGAAGTAGTACCCAGGTGCTTTAGTCAGCTTCTCAGAGTTTTCTAAGAAGGGTTCATAGAGGTGTAAGACCATGTGTGCTAAAGAGAAAAACATTTGAAGACGTGGCAAAGGTGGACAAGGCCTGTTTTGAAAGAGAAAGGAAAACTTATATCTCTCCTAAAAGGGCAATAAAAAAGAAGTTCAAAGATCCCAATGTAACCAAGAGGCCTTCTTCAGCCTTTTTGTTGTTTTGTTCTGAGTATTGCCCCAAAATCAAAGGAGAGCATCGGGCTTATCCGTCTGTGATGCTGTGAAGAAGCTGGGGGAGATGTGGCGTCACACTGCTGCAGGTGACAAGCAGCCTGATGAAGGTGGCTGAGCTAGAGGAGAACTACGGAAAGGATATTGCTGCTTACCAAGGTAAAGGAAAACCTGATGCTGCAAAAAGGGAGTTTTCAGAGCTGAAAAAAGCAAGAAAAAGAAGAAAGAAGGGAACACAAGGATGATCAAGAGGAGGAAGAAGATAAAGAAGATGATGAGGATGAGTTGGTTCTAGTAGTTTTTTTCTTATTTATAAAGCATTTAACTACCCTTCTACACAATTCACTCCTTTCAAAGCCTTATATTGAAATACAAGGCTGTGTAAGATTTGTTTTTAAACTGTACAATGTCTTTTTTTATATAGTTAACATAGTACTGAATGTGTCTTTAGATACCATATGGTGGTATTTTCAGTAGCCACTAACCTTGCTTGGTACAAATGGGGTTTGTAAATTGGTATGAAATTTAAAATAGGTTCTTATTGGTGCACATTACAAATTAGTTATATATGGGGATGGTAGATTTTTCATTTTCAGTTGTCTCTGGTGCAGCTTATATGAAATGTTTGTTAACTGAACACCACTCTGTAATTGCAAAAAAAAAGTTACAACTGTTCCGTTGACATTCTGAATACTTCTAAATAAATACAGGTTTTTTTAATTGAAAAAAAATTATGTATTGGTATGACATTTTATTTTGCTTTAATAAGTAAGTACTTAAGTATAATTAATTGTTAGCTATCAATGCCAATAAAATTAGATTTAAAATATCAAAGACTGAGTATATGACATTCTTGGAGAATGATGGAATATTAAACTTGCCTTTGAATTAACTTTTCTATAATTTCTAAATCATCCATAAATGAAATTATTGTCCATACTCAGTTTATAGTTTGCACTTGTGTTTTCAGCATGGTGGTTCATAGTTTTCTGACCCCGAGTGCATGTAAACACACTTGTGGAGCTGTTTGACATTTCTGGTGTCTCCTCCTCCCAGTACTCTAAAGTTTGATTAGGACGCTAAATTTCAGTTAAGAAGTTTTTTTCTTCTTTTCTATTCGCTTTTGTTTCTTTAATTTTTTTATTATTAAATACTTTTGAATTTTATGTTTGTTCAAGTGCAGTTTTCTGCCTTTTCCCCCCACCCCTCCTACCACCCCTGCCATCCCCACCTACCTCTCCTGTTTCCAACCACCCGTTGTGGTTGTTTTTGTCTGTGTGTCCTTTAAAGTTGTTTCTATAAACACTTCACTCTTTTCCCCCCATTATCCCTTCCCCTCTCCCCTCTGGTTACTGTCAGATTGTTCTTAATTTCAATGTCTCTGGTTATATTTTGCTTGCTTGTTTGTTTTGTTGATTAGGTTCCAGTAGAGGTGAGATCATAATGGTATTTGTCTTTTACTGCCTGGCTTATTTCATTTGCTCTCCAGTTCCATCCATGCTGTGACAAAGGGTGGGATCTCCTCTCTTTCTGCTGCATAGAATTCTATTGTGTAAATGTACCATAGTTTTTTCATCCATTCATTTACTGATTGGCACTTAGGTTGCTTCCAGCACTTGGCTATTGTAAATTGTACTGCTATGTTCTGCATAGGTTCTTCTGGATTGGTGTTTCAGGGTTCTTAGGATATAATCCTAGCAGTGAATTGCCGGGTCCAAAGTCAGTTCCATTTTTAGCTTTCGTTTTAAAACAGTATGGAATTTACTGTTTTCCATAGTGGTTGCGCCAGTCTGCAATCCCTTCAACAGTGCACTAGGATTTCCTTTTCTCCCCAACTTCTCCAACACTTGTTTATTGCTTTGTTAATATCCATTCTCACTGGTGTGAGGTGGTATCCCATTGTGGTTTTAATTTGCATCTCTCTGATGGCTAACAATGCTGAGCATCTTTTCATGTATCTCTGGGTCCTCTGTATGTCCTTGGAGAAGTGTCTGTTCAAGTTCTTATTTAGTAGACAAAAGTAACAGGGTAGCAGGAAGCTCTTCTTGGTCACTTTGAAAACCTGTGCTCCTCTCATCTAAATTCTAGGGCATTTTTCTGTCAGAGAGTGTCCCTGGTCCATAAGTGTGGGAAGGGTTCAGTAGATGGTCCTGTCTCTAGGACAGAGGCTTTCAGATTTTGGTGAGCATGAGGATCAAGCTGAAGATTTTTTAGAAATGGAATATTTGACCTATGTTCCTCAGACTGAAATCAGAATCTCAGCTATGAAAATTGTTGCTCTGGAGCAAAAAGAGAAATAAAAATAAGAGAAAGAACTCATGGATAGGGAGGGACAACAGTGTGGTGATTACTGTGGGGAGGAGGATGGAGGAAGTGGAGGAAAGATAGAAAAAGAAAAAATTGTTGCTCTGGACTTTTAAAGCCTAGAGTGAATATTGAGACTGATCCTGGATAATTAGCAATAGAAATGATCTTGCCTTCATCATTTAAGGCTACCAGCTCAAAAAGTAGAGCATAAAAGGTAAGGAAGATTTGGAATATGGAGGTGGTTTATTGTCCTTCCTTTGTTCACCTTTGTGTCATTTGGCATAGTCGGTGATTTGGAAGGAAAATCTAAAAAATTAGAACAAACCAAAATAACAAAATGAGAGGTCATGGTTAAGTAATAAGCACAAGAACAGAGAAAACTGTTTTCTAAGTTGTTTGACATTCCTTACTTTCATATTCCCTCAGAGAATAAGCTGTATGATGTCATTTAAGAGAAAGCCCGTCAACCAAAATATCTTCACCATTGTACAGATCTGTAACTAGTTCGCTGCTGTTCTGATGAAATACAGAAAGTTCTGAAAGGTTTTTCTTTTTAGGTTTGTGAAAAACTTATTTGCTGGAAAAACTTGACCTAAACAAATACATTGTTATTCATCATCTTTATTTTACCCATTAGTGTAAATATTTGAGTTTTGGTGGAATTACTTTTTAAAAAATTATTTAGTGCTGTCTCAGAATCTGCTGGAGGTGTTATATGATAACCGTGTGTATATATTCTTTTTCATAAAATATTTTTAAAATTCTGAATTCTGAAACATTTGGTTCTGGTTTTTTTTTTTTTTGTTTTTGTTTATTTTTAATTGGTAAAGAGTGAAAAAGTGACTCATCTTTATTTTTCCCAGTGGGGTTCAGGTGCCTTATCATGATTTAGAAATAACCTTTCTTCCGCTGCATCAGTAAGGGTGTTGGGCTTTGAATTAAATTCCATGTCCAGTGTTTTGAAAGGAGTGGTTGTAGATCTGTATTAGAAATTCTACTAGTTGAATAAATTAGAGTTAGCAAATGAATAAACAGAGTGTGTGCATAGCTGTGTCTTAATTTGTACTTGATTTGCCTCTACTGTTTTAAAATTTGATTTTTATGTTGGAGTTACACTGACTTATCTACCTCTAATCTTAATATAGCTATGTGATCTTGGACAACTTAACCACCCTAATAGACTCAATTTCTCTTCAGTAAGAGGCAAGATGATAGAATGTAGTAACAAATGTTTCTAGGGTTCAAAACCAATTCTACACTTACTGGTTATGTGAGTTTCACCTATTTTACTTATTTGTGTATCAATTTTTTTATCTAAAAAATGAACATAATAATAATGTTATCTAGCTCATAGGGTTGTTATGAAGAACAAATGAGTAAATATACCTAAATTATTTAAAATAATGACTGACATATTGTTAAGGCTGTAAATATAAAAAAGGTGTACTATTGCATCCTAATTTTTTAGCCTATTGCTTTGCAATTGATAAGGGCTTAATACTTATCAAATTGAATTGCATTTCCTAAAATCCTTAATGTGTTATACATGATAACAGAGAGACATGTATTATTGCTTAGAACATAGGTATGGTAAATTATTTCTGATATTTGCTTAATATTCTTTTCTTTTTCTCTCAAATCCATTTTTCTCTTTTCCCAGAGTCAAATAGACGTATCACTGGAGGAGCTATGCAACTATCTTTTACACAGCTTAGTATAGATTATTATCCTTACCACAAAGCAGGTGTGTATAACAGTTTTTTTTAAATACATAAATCTTGCTTTCAATTTATATAGCAAATTTATTTCATTTGTTTTATTTTCATTTTAATTTAATTTTAAAAGCAAAAAGAGATCAAAACATTTGCTATTTTCCCCCATAGTATCTTACCAAGAAAATATAATTGCCATAGAGAATATTCATTCATTTTTATATTGAGGTTTATATAGATTGTTAGAAAGTATAATTGTTAAATATTGGCAATATTGTAAATAACTAATTTAAAAGCTTTTAAAAAATATTTTATTTATTTTTAGAGAGAGGGGACGAGAAGGAGAAAGAGAGGGAGGGAAACATCTGTGTGGTTGCCTATTGCATACCCCCTCCTGGGGACCTGGCCCACAGCCCAGGCATGTTCCCTGACTTGGAATTGAACCAGCAATACTTTGGTTTGCAGGCCAGTACTTAATCTACTGAGCCATACAAGCAAGGACGAATTTAAAACTTTTTAAAAATGAGAACACATATTTGTGCTATTTTGTTAATTGTGACAAATTTATTAATATGTTTGAATTTTTAAGTGATATATTTAGATATTAAAAACTCAAAAATATGTAAAGCCAAAGGGTAACAGTGAATTTTTGCTAAGATGTAGGAGTCCATGAACTAGCTTTTAAAAACTTTTTAATATTTTCTAAATTTTATCAATAAATAAGATTTAATAGGGTTCTTAAATATTGATGGATTCTTTATCCCAAATAATAAAAAACAAAAAGAATGTGCACTTATGGCCAAATTAAGTACTTTGACCTTATACCCCTCTCTGCATTTTGGTGGCATGTGGCTTTTTGTTTTTAATTCACACAAATAACTATAATGAGTTTTCTGGGTTACGTAAAAATACCTAAAATATTTTTAACTATGGAAATAATTTGTATTGGAAAGTAAAACTTTCAGTTATAAAGTAGATGTTATTTTCTTAATCTTTTTATATACATATTACTTTCCTTAGTTGTTACAGAGAAACCTAATATCCTGATGTCTATCTTGAGAATTCTTATTTATTTCTTCAGTTTTTAAATAATCCTTATCACTTTTATGGATAAGTTTGTTAGTCACTTTATAGTAGATCTTTGATGAAAAGACTGTTTTCTTTGATGGTTGAGCGTTCAGTGAACGTTCACTAGCAATGCTGCTTCTAATTGAAACTTTGAGTGATGTCTTACCATAGGTAGGGTGTGGAGAGAAACCCTCCCTGGTTATTTCCTTTTGACTTGCTTTCCCTCTGTTCTGTGTTTGCTCATCTTTTCTAGGAAAGTTAAAATCTATAGTTAGCAAAGGCTGTAAATTTATTGGAAAATTGAAGAGTCTCTTGAGAATATGAAGAAATCTGATTAGAAGCGTAACAGAATAAATTGTGTACTCTTCAGTGAAGTTTTTTGCTATTCATTTTACAGGAGATAGTTGTACTCATTGGATGTATTTTAGTGATGCAACCAAGACAAAAAATGGATGGGCCAATGAATTGTTACAGGAATTTGAGAGCAACGTTGAGATGCTTAAACAGGCTATAAAGGATCATAATGTAGGTTCACCTCCTAAATCACCAACACATGCCTCTCCCCAGCACACACAAACAGGTATTTTACCTATAACAACATTAAGGCATTCCCCTAATACTAATTGTGTGTGTTCGTTTATATATATATATATATATATTTTCTGTAAATAAGTATTGTTTAATTAAATGTATAAAAAATCTACATTTTATTCAGACAAAAGGCATAGAATATTTTAGACTCTTTAATGACTAGTAGATTTCTCTTTTTAATAATTATTTCAGACAAAAGTTATATGGGAGTATCTTAAGTGTGATATGATTCCTGATTAAGGAATAATTATGAAAAGGTAATCATCACAATTTAACATTCCCGTATCAGTTTACATACAGTGTTTCTACATGTATTATGTCATTTGAGAAATCAGAGTTCATCTGTATTTCTAGTAGCTGTCATAAACAGTAAAAAAGCGAGTGTTAGAAAAAAAATGCAGTAAATTGAAAGGAGTTTTTGTTCCCCACAGAGAAAGATGCAGCTCTGAAAGGGACTTCCAGAACACCTTCAGTGTTATCTCAACAATCCAAAGCTAAGTTAATGTCTAGTTCCCTTGTGGTTAGGCTCGCGGATTTCAATATATATCAGGTACGTTTTACTTTTTAGATGAAATGTTCTGATGTAATACATTTAGTATCTCCTGCAACTCTTATAAACTAATGCCACCATTTTATTTAAGAATATCTGACCAGGTTTGTGAAATGCCTTAAATTAGGTAGGATAGAAAATATCAGTTCATTAATTTTTATGTGTATAGTTTTCCGAGATTAGCCACAGTGTGAGGTTAAGGTTACAGTGCTTTAGATTGCCAGATCTGCACAAGACTTCTGGTACCAACTGCAGGTTCAAGGGTTTCCATAAACTGCTCACAGATTCAGGAATTCACTGGAAAAATTCACAGAACTCGTTGAAATCAATCATACTCAGAGTCATAGTCATGAAAGGAAAGAATACAAATTAGAACCACCCACAGGAAGGGAACATAGAGAGGAGTCTGGGAGGGTTCTAAATTCAGAACTTACTTTTCCTCAAGACACATTAGCCTCCCAGCATGGTTGTATAACAGTATGTGTGAACTATTGCCCATCTAGTTGAATTCAGTCTCTAGGTGGATTAATACCAGGTGCCCCAAGGTGTCCAACTTATAAACACTACTGTGGCAAATTTGGCCAGTCCCACTCTGAGACATCTTGTGAGCATAAGCTATTACTTGCGGCCCCAGGGGTCCACCATGAATACGAAATTCCAGTAGTTTAAAATTACTTCCCAGGAGCAGAGACAAAGGCCAGACCTCTCTTTGTAGTCCAGATTCCGTATTACACAATTGTTTTAATGGAAGGAAGTAGAATACCTTTTGCTTTATTGAACTACCATGTATTAGCTGTACTGTGAACATAATTTTATAGCCAAGATCTCTATGTCCCATTTACAACTAAAAATCTTACTCGGGCTGTAATCTGACCATATAGTTTAACCTCACAGTTTATGAGACTAACACAATAGAATCTGTTATGATTCTAATGTAACTCCTTAACAGTTAATGAGGAGTTACATTTATACAGTCCTAAAATTATTTCAGCCTATTGATGTCATCAAGGCTGACGTGGCCCCCGGTGAAAATGAGTTTGACAGCCTGCAATATAGTCTATGACTTATTTTTAAAAAATAAAAGAAAGGATTTCAGATGTGTGTTAGCATTTATGAATTACTTTTTTATTTTGATAAACCCATGCCTTTGAGACTTAGTTTTATATGAAAAGTTTTAATTTTAATAGTGGTTTTCAACTGGGGCCAATTTTGTTCCTCAGGGGACTTTGGGGGACTGGTCTGAGGACAATTTTGGTTGTCACAGTTGGAGGGGGTAGCTGCTGACACTGGTGGGTAGAGACCAATGATTCTGTTGAACATTCTACAATGTACTGGACAGCCTCCACAATGAACACTTATCTGGCCCAAAATGTCAGCAGTGTCAATATTGGGAAACCCTGGTTTAACAGTTATTGTGCTATTGCTTCCTTTTTTACATTCTGTATGTAATGTGTCTCATTTCAAGCAGACTTTAAATTATGAGATTTAATAAATTCAAATGGTAATGAGTTATAATATCAAATGATTGAAGGTGAAATATAGTAAAGAAATCCCACATACACAAATATACCAAAACAAAACAAAAGTAACCAGGAGACAATAAAATGGTATGTTCATTCCATCTTGAATAACTTATTAACTATTAAAGGAAAAAGTAAGCTGTTATCTGTAAAAATAACTTGATACTTTGAGTTGGAAAGGATTCATTTCCATATAGAGAGAAAAACTTCTTGATTAGATAACATAAGAAGGTGGCTTAAATTTATAAAGACTACAGATAATTGAAAGGTTTGAGTAGCAATTTATACAAAACAAACCATCGAAAAAGCATTTTACTTTGTATGAGAAATACACGTTTGTTGAATGAATGAAAAAAATAACCTTGAGATGCATCTCTGGGTCTACTGAGTAAGCATAAATGAATGAAATTGATAAAACTATTAGTTGAACTTTGGGGGAAATTAGTATATACATTTTTAATGTAATTATAAATTATCAGTTTTGGGAATAACCTTAAAACTAATAGTTCTTTTTGGAAAAATACTTTAAACTGTTTAAGAGGCATTTATAATTGTATTACTTTTATTAAATATACATAACAATTTGTCATCTTAATCATTTTTAAGTGTATAATACCTTGGCGCTAAGTATATTCACATTGTGCAACTCTCATCACTGTCCATCTTCATAATTTTTTTGTCATTTCAAACTGAAACTCTGTATATAACTATATTATTTCTCATAATAAAGAAATTTGGGTAGAGAATTATTGTCCAGTACATAGTGGAGAAGCATTCTAGTCTTGAGGACTTAAAACTATGTCCAGACTCTGTTGTTTACTTATCTGCTTTATCTTACAGAAATATTCTATCTGGTATTTTAAGGCTCAAAATAATAAGTTTGCAAGGAATGTTGTATAGAGTTGATTTTTGTAATTGATAAGAATCCAAAGAGGGGACTGTTTTCTGACTAGTTAATTTAAAAATAATTTAGTGTTCACCCTGACTGCTGTGGCTCAGTGGGTTGGGAGTCACCTGCAAACTGAAAGGTTGCTTTTTAGATTCCCAGTCAGGGCACAGGCCTGGGTGGTGGGCCAGGTCTGGAGCGGGGTGCACAGCTGGTGAGTGTTTCTCTCGCACACCGATGTTTCTCTCCCTCTCTTTCTCCTTCTCTTCCCCCCCTCTTTAAAAATAAATACAATCTTTAAAAAAAATGCCCAGTAAAAATAATGTGCAGTTAAATATATAATAAAGTTTTTATTTGAAGTTAACCATTAATTAATTATTGGAAGCAATTTTTAATACTTTGAAGTGATGTCTGTGTTGCATAAATTCTTTGGAAAGGGCCTTATTCAGTGTTACCTTAGGAAACTTAATTATTTTTTCAGGTCTCTACAGCAGAACAATGTCGCTCTTCCCCGAAAAGTATGATTTCGTGCAATAAAAAATCCCTGTATCTTCCACAAGAGATGTCAGCTGTCTATATAGAATTCACAGAATATTATTATCCTGATGGAAAGGATTTTCCAAGTAAGAGGATTTCCTATTTTGTTATTATTTGTCCATTACTAGGGAAGTTTTTTTTCTTGCAAAATTTTTCACTTTTATAAATGTGAAAAAAATAAAAAGTCCATTGTTCTTTACTCTTGTTATTGTATGTGGTATACAACTCTAGGATAGCGTTTTCATGTATTATTTGTTCATATGTTCTTTTCTCTCGCTAGCTTGTAACACACTTGATGTCAGGAATTATGTAGAATTCACACTTCCTTTTATCACCAAGTTTTGACACATTTTTATACTTAGTAGCTGTTTGTTTAGTTATGCCATTTATAGAATAAGATTTTCCTTTAGTAAAACTTCATTTATATTTCTGCTGTATAAAATAATACACTGTATTTCATTGAAGAAATGAATAATGATGTTATCCCTTTAGCTCCAGAGAATTCTTCAGGCTGGTTTTTAATACCCATATAATATACCTTGGACAACTTTTAGCACTTTAGTTAGAAACACTGAATTACATGAATTTTTATTTGTAAGCTACTTTGGCTGCCTAAAGTTAAAATGCGGATGTATTTGTGTTCTCTGAATATTAAAATTCTGTGCTACTTGTCTTGGTTTCTCTGGGAGTCCTTCAAACTAAAATTTGTACTTGTTTATGTGGTACCTTTTTCATTATTATAATTAAAAATGGAAGTTGAGGGAAAAAGTGTTTAAATGAAGTAGGTTATGTTATTTGGAAGACAGAAATGTTATGTCCTCTCTTAAAAGTGGAACTCCAGGATCGGTTGGCCTACTTTGCCCATTTGTTTAATATTGACTTAATGTAGGCTCTTAGTTTCAAAGGGAATTTCTGATGCTCATGCCTTTGCTGTTATCTAAAAAGAAGGTAGCCTGGAAATTACTTTGGAGAAACAAATATGGAACTGTTTTACTGCTTTAATTTTTGTTTTGTGCCAGACTTTTAGAATCTAATCCTTACCATTTTTGCCTTTTAGCAGTCTTGTATATTTCTCACTTGTTTGTTTCTTCTACCTTCCTGACTAAAATAATGAGAAAATTAAGATAGATTAAATATTTGCTCAGCACCTTATGAAGAGTAAAACGGCACAGCTAAAACTCAGCATGGGTCTTTTAAATACAAATTCATCCCCCCCCACACACACACACACTGTTTTCCCAGGGACATTCACAGCCATTTTTCTGTAACTGGGTAATCCTGTTGTCTCCAGCCCTCCCCCACACTCCCCAAATTGTTTTCCTTAAATAATGCGTTGTTCAACTAGCGACTTTTCTTCACAGTTAAGACTAGTTTCTGGGATTTCTGACTTCTAATTCAGGTTTATTTCTATCAGTTTTTTAATGTGTACCAGAGGAATTATCCCATTCTATAATCTATACATTTTTTGCCAGATAAAAATATAAATTTTTTCCCTGCAGTGTAAATCCTAGCCCCCTAGATACCTAGAAGTGGATGTTTTAACTCTTTTTAATTTAACTTTTTATTATGGAAAATTTTCAAACACACACCAGTGTAAAGAGGGCTGTATGTTGAATCCCCATCTGTAGGCATTCATTTTTAATCCTCATGTTTCATCTCTGTTAAGTGATTCAACTTTAAAAACATAACTTTTAAAATAATTATAAATGCAATATGTTAATTATATTATAAAAAAGAAAATACCCAAAATAAAAAATGCCCATGAGCCTATAATTTCGAGACTACTCCTCCTAAAACTTCAGTGTATTAGTTTGCTAGCACTGCCATAACAAAGAGCCACAGACTGAATGGTTCAAACAACAGAAGTTTATTTCTTCACAGTTCAGGAGGCTGAAAGTTCTCAATCATAGTGTGGGTGGAGTCGCTGCCTCAGAGACCTCTCTCCTTGGCTCATTGATGGTCATCTTCTCATGTGGTCTTTCCTCTGTTTGTGTCTGTTTCCTAATCTCTTCTTGTGACACATACCGCATTGGGCCAGGGCCCACCCATAAGAACTCACTTTTACTGTAATTGTCTCTTTAAAAGCCCTGTCACCATATACAGCTGCATTCTGCGGTACTGGAGATTAGAACTTCAACATATCAATTTTAAGGGGACATAGTTCTGATTGTAACAATAAGTAGAGTGTTGTTAGTTCCATTTTTAATGTATGTTTCTTTTACATACTTGATTTACATCCTGTTTTTTTTCTTAATGATATGAGCATATTTCTGGTTTCTACAAGTTCATTTTAAATGTCTTCAATAGTCACATAGTAATCTATTTCATAAGTTGACCCCTATTAGAAACTGCATATTCATCTCTCTACTGCTTAGTCTATCAGGTTTCTTCCTCGGTCCATGATCTGCCATCAGGGTTCTTCTTTCCTTTTGTGCTCTAGCCTTGGGACTGCATTTGCTGTCTAGTCTTCTCTGCGGCTGTCATCATCACTTATTCTGTATTTGAGATTCTTCTTTCTTTCCATCCAGAGTGTGATGTGATCTCAGCATCCCACTTCCTTGCTATTTCCAAAATCAAGCATCTCTGTCTGCATCCCAATTGAATGTCTCCATTGGACTTGAATTACAATTTCTCTGCTTTCATGTCTGTCTCATGTGATAGTCTATGAACTTTTTTAAGGGAAGGAACCATGCCCTGTTTTTTAAAATGAATCTTTGTGCTTAACACAGTATAAAAGGTATAGTTGGCATTCAGTGAATCCGGATTTGTTATGATGCTGTTTCTACTGGTCCTATCCCTTGGGCTTATTTTTCTTAATAGAGCTTAAAAGTTCTAGATATGCATACTATTTGCTTTGGTAGAAGTAAATAAGTGTGAATTTTTGGAATAAAATATCCTCTTCATGATCTGAAAATGATATTGGCTTTATGATACAAATATATGTGGCTTTCAGGAAGCGATATATACTCTAATTGTAAATATTAGTTTAACATTTATTTGCACTAAAAATTTGTCTAACCCCTGGGCATTCTACTAGTTTGGGAGAGCTATGAAAATGAATATATTCATTTGGTTACTTGAGTTTTTACTTTGCACCAAGCACTATTCTAAGTTTAGGATTAAGGGCAGAGTAAAACTATACATGGTCCTTCCTCTCAAAGAGATTTGCCTGGATTACTACTTCTTTCATTGTGGAGGATTCAGATTAAGATTCAGATAGTAAAAGTCCTTACAGAAATAAGTGGTTAAGCATCACAACTAATGTAATAATTTATTAAAAAGGTAAGGTTCTTGAAGTTTGCTGATTGGTGACTATAACATTAGGAAACGAAATCTAAACAGTATTTCCTATTTATACAGTTAGTTTTAGAATCAGTTGTATATTTTCAGTTAGTGAAACAGAAAAAATGATTTTTGTCTGTCTAAATGTGTTTGCTATCACCGGCATGTGTCACTTTAATTTTGTAAATAACATCTGAAAAACTTTTTACCTAAATTAAAAAAGAATGAAATGTGTTAAAATGTATTTTCTGTTCTCAGGGAAGATTTGGAACTATCGGTTTATTAAGTCTTTTAAAATTTTTTTCTCCACAGTTCCATCTCCCAACCTTTATAGCCAGCTGAATGCACTACAGTTTACTGTGGATGAAAGAAGTATTCTATGGTTAAATCAATTTATATTGGATTTAAAACAGAGCCTTAATCAATTTATGGCTGTATACAAGTTGAATGACAATTCAAAATCTGATGAGCATGTTGACATTCGAATTGATGGCTTAATGCTAAAGGTACCATATAAACAAGTGGCTACGAGAACAAAACCATTTTTACAGAAGAAAAGTTAACACCATTATAATTTCCAGGATTTAAGAGGGCATTCAAATTTAACTCAGCTTCATTGCATCTTAATTTTGATTTTTAAATTTCAGTTTTAAAATTCAATCATAGAAGCTTTAAGAGACTTTTCCCCCTGCTTCTTTCTCTTTCTTTTATTTTTTTTCTTTTCTCATCTATTTGGAGGTAAGCAGTAGAAGTAAAATTTAAATCAGTCATTTTGTTCCTACTTCTTACCAGAAGTGATAAAAATTTTCTTTTTAAGATTGTAAATAATACAATGAAGCTTTTAAGTTAAATTTGGGTTTTATATATTCACATTTATTCTGTTAATAATATCCAAAGGTAATGGAAAGTTGCTCAATATTACAGGCAGGTGACTGGTAATCTGAATTCCATGGACATTTAAATTTTAAAGGAAGAAAAAAATACTTTAGTATAGAATGAGTCTTGGGCATAGATGGAAATTTTAGTGTTGCTGGTAGACTAAATTTATATACTTTAAATTTCTTTTCTGTAAATTGAGGTTAATAATTGACAATCACATTATAGAAATGTTTTAAAAATCTTATAATCACTATAGAGACACATTTTATAACATTTATAATTATAATTTAAGATACAATTATATAATCTTTACATTTTCCAAGTTTGGTTAGTCTTAAAACCAGTCACTTTGAACTCTTTAGTGTGAATATTTTAAGGACTTGGGTTAATTATCTCTGGAAAATTATTTTAGTAATTGGACCGATACAGTTAAGTTTATTAATAGTTTTCTCCCAAAGAAGTGATTCTAATGACATCTATCAAGTCATTCCATCTACTCATCTATTTATCCCCCAAATTGCCTGAATCTAAAATATCCTAATAAAAAATTTCTTTTTTCAAACTTGACACTTTCTTCTATATGCTCATGGCAGAGTAAGCATTTAGTAATACTGGTTTGATATAATTTTGTTCTTTTTATTTTGTGATATGTTGTATGCAAATTTTTTTATGTTGTGTATATTTTTCATCATTTCTTTGTTTTTTAACCTTTTCTTAGTGGTAAATTATTTCAGTTCTTTAAACTCAGTTTAATAAAAAAGATTTGGGGGAGAGAAAGTTACTGTTTTATGTCTGGTTAGGAAAGTAGTTTGGGTGGGAATGTCAAAAAGTATTGTTTTTGGTTAGTTTATCTTCAAAATATATGGATTTGTAGTTAGACTAGATTAATGTGTTTTCTCTTTTAGTTTGTTATTCCTTCTGAGGTGAAATCTGAGCGTCATCGGGATCAACCACACGCCATTTCTATTCAGAGTTCTGAGATGATTGCCACAAATACAAGGCACTGTCCAAACTGTCGACATTCCGATCTAGAATCCTTGTTTCAAGACTTTAAAGATTGTGATTTTTTCAGTAAAACATATACCAGCTTTCCCAAATCTGGTGACAATTTTAATCTTTTGCATCCAATCTTCCAAAGACATGCTCATGAACAAGATACCAAAATGCATGAAGTTTACAAAGGAAACATTACTCCCAAATTGAATAAACACACTCTTAAAACTTCTGCTGCCACAGATGTTTGGGCTGTGTATTTTTCTCAATTTTGGATAGATTATGAAGGGATGAAAAGTGGAAAAGGACGACCAATAAATTTTGTAGACTCTTTCCCTCTTTCCATCTGGATTTGTCAACCCACAAGGTATGCACTGTCTCAGAAAGAGCTGCAGGCTTGTAATCGGATATCTCTAAACACATCACAAAGTGAATCTAGTGATCTGACTGGCCGGTTGAAGCGGAAGAAGCTCTTGAAGGAGTATTACAGTACAGAGTCCGAGCCCTTGACAAACGGGAGTCAGACATCTTCGTCAGACACATTTTTAAGATTTTCCTCTTCATCATCAGATGCAGATATTCATGTCCTGGTTCATGTTCAGAAGCACATCAGTATGCAGATCAATCACTACCAGTATCTGTTGCTGCTTTTCCTTCATGAGTCACTCGTTCTGCTTTCAGAGAACTTAAAGAGCGATGTAGAAGCCGTGACTGGCAGTCCTGCCAGTCAGACATCCGTTTGCATTGGAATTTTACTTAAAAGTGCAGAAGTGGCTCTTCTACTACACCCAGTGGATCAGGCAAATACTCTCAAGTCTCCCGTTTCTGAAAGTGTGATCCCTGTTTCTGATTATGTGCCTGCAGAAAATGGAGAGTTCTTGTCTTCAAAAAAGAAACAAGTTACTAGTGGCGTAAATCAAACCAGAAGTGTAACTGTTAATCATAAGTCAGACAACCGATCTATGAGTGTTGACCTTAGCCACGTCCCTTTGAAGGATCCTTTGCTTTTTAAATCAGCTAGTGATACAAATCTGCAAAAAGGCATTTCTTTTCTGGATTATTTATCAGATAAAAATTTAGAGAAAATAAGTGAAGATGAAAGTACTGGAATTCTTTGCAAAAGTGGCTCAGGGGAAATTGGATTAGAAACAGGCGACAGAAAGGACTTAACTTACGCAGGTTCAAATAGTGTCTTTAACTACAGAGAGGATTCAGGTTTGCTGCCATTTGGTCATTATGGTAATCAACACATGCTTTCAAATAGTGTAACTAGTAAAGGAAATGAAGCCATAGAAGCTATCTTTAAAGCTGAAGATTTGCTTCCAGAAACAACTTCACTCTCTGAGAACCTGGAAATGGGTAAAGAAGAAGCACCCACAGTTAGAACACTTAAATCACAGTCATCTTTAAGGTAACAATGCAGTGTTGGAATGGGTGGGGGCGGTGTTTGGAGTGTGTGTGTGTGTGTGAGCATATTTTGTTTTCAGACCGAAAACCTCATGGCAAAACATGACATCATCAGAGTTAACACATGGAAGAGAAGGTTTTTCAAAATATGAAAATACTTTCAGCTTAGACTTATATGATTTAAAAAGTACATTTACTGTATACTGTGTTTTTCGGACTACAAGACACACCCCCCACCATTTGAGAGGAATAATGGTTGTTAATGATGCTGTCGAGTTCTGTTTACATTTACATTGCTGAAATATTATGTTATTAAATATTTTACCACATTTTAAAAATTTTCCTCCTCTAAAACCTAGGTGTGTCTTGTGTTCCAAAAATACGGTACATGTTTTTATTTTGTTAGGAATATTTTTAGAATTTTTGACCTCATCTGCGATGATTTTCTGGTAGTTTTGTTTATTAACGTCTAAAGGAATGGTGCCCACCAAATCTGGTTCCCCTCTGTACTTCCTACAGGAACGTGAAAAGAAGCTCCTCACAAACCTCACTGGATACCATTTCACTCGACAGCATGATATTGGAGGAACAGTTGTTAGAAAGTGATGGAAATAATAGTCATATATTTCTGGAAAAAGGTAAAGCAATACAGTAAAGAACTTATATATACACACACAGAACACACATTTCTTAGAAGTAATGTTTAAGTATTTTTAGTTATATTCAATAATTAGAAATACTTAGATGTTTAAGTATTTTTAATTATATTCAATAATTAATTACATTGCCTAAAAGACATTTTATTTATACACACATACATGCACAATACACCAAAACTATTATACCTAATTTTATAATAGTTCTGTTGCTGCTTTTAACCAGATAATTTCTCTCTCTCTCTCTCTTTCCTCCCCCTCTCTCTTTTGTGGCCAACTCTAACTCTTATTTGTATTGTATATAGACAATAAAGCAGACAGCATTAAAGCTACTAGCTCTCTTACAGAGACATCTATATCTGGAATTTTGATTAGGTGACCTTAATTAGCAGGATGGATTCTCAATTACGTGGTCCTAGGACTGTAGTACAGACTGAATCTACTTATTTCCATACCAGGATTCTCTTACTTACATGATTATATCTGATGGAACTACATGATTGCCCTTTTTAAAAATGTTTTTTAATTTATTGATAGATTTGAGAAAGAAGGGGAGAGAGAGAGAGAGGAATACTGATTTTGTTGTTCCACTTATTTATGCATTCAGTTGTTGAATCTTGTATGTGTCCTGACCAGGGATTGAACCCACAACCTCCTTGGTGTCATAAGGACAACACCCTGATACTCGGCCAGGTACAAAGGTTCCTAATGTCCCAGTAAAGACCACGAGGAATGACTTAGAATTATATGCATTTCAACCACTAAGACATTGGGGACTTTGTGAACAGGGATAAAAACATGGGCACGGAGTAGTTGTCCCAGACACTGAAGCATAAGGGACAAGAGACACATACAAATTACTTTGTGTATAGAGAATAATAAGCCTATTGGTTGTTGAAGACATCTTCAGTAAGGAAAGACTCGTAGCTTCATAAACTGAAGCTTAAAGAAATTAGTATACAGTCAGGAAGCAACAGAAGTAGATTTGGAACTCAGCTAGTCTGATCCAAGGACCTAGGCATTTAACCAATCAGTATGCTATATTAGCTCTCTAGACATGGGAAATGTCTGGAGATGAAAAAGCCATGACCTAACCCTGTATAGGCAATTTATGGCAATATCCTTTTCAGCATACTCTACCAATTAAATGGAGATGGAGAAGAGGTACTAATGCAGTCCATAAAAATCTATTTTAGATTCACAGAGCTCAATTGCTAGTTTCTCTGCCCCCTTTATGGTTTTAAATCCTACTTTAGCAGAGGATTTATATTCTGTGATCAAAATTTAATTTAAAAAGTGTCCCTTTAGAAAATATTCCTACTTGGTCTCAAAAGGCATCAGTGTTTTCTTGTTATTTCTGAATATTAAATCATAAAAGTGACTCTCAATTTGGAAAATAAAGACAACTGCAATTTGAAAAATAAATGAACTCCAAAGCTCCACAATCTAGTGATATTAACTGTCATTTATTCTATAAATTTTTATATGTATTCACATATATATATACACACATATATTTGATGTTATATTACATACATGATTTTTTAACCGACTTTTTATCTCACATATGCATTTGCTAATATTATATATGAAATGACCTTTAATAATTTCCCAGATATTGGATTGTTAGATTGTTTATAGTTTCACAGTTATAAAATGATTATAGTTTCACAGTTATGAATGATAATTAATATTCATAAAGTTTGCTTGCATTTCTAATTACTGTCTTAAAATAGATTCCAGCAATAGATTATTAGGATCTAGAAAAAGAGCAAGGCATTATTGCTGTGTGTCACATGTAAATATGTGACTATATAGTCCTAATTCTCCTGAAATGTAATAATTTTCTTTATGTTACAGAAATTGTTTTTCATTGGGAACACTTGCTTTGTTTTTTGTTTGTTTTAATTTTTTGAGAAATATATGGATATGTTCTCAGTGTAAGAAAAGAAGACATTATAGAAATACAGTACAAAATGAAGGTGTCACTTTAAACCACCCTTTCTCTGTCCCTTGATACCTTTCCCCAGAAATAACACCCATCTGAACTTTTGGTATATACCGTATACTTTCAGGCCCTTTTCTCTACACATATATATGTTTATATGTATATACTGTAACATACATGTGTAGGTATGTTTGTGTGCATATTTTCATATATATTTACATGTTTATACAGAGAAACAAAGACATGGCTGGGCTATGACCCCATGATAGGCTTGTATCTCATCTCCCCACTTTGGTTCTTGTCAATTTTCAGTTCATTCTTCACCCCATAGGAAGAATACTCTTTAAAAATGTAAATACTATCATGTTGACTTCAATTTTAATCCCGATAACTTCTCACCGCTGTAAGGTAACAACTTTAAAAACCTTAATGTCACTGACAGTGCTCTGTGTGATATGGCCCTTGCTTAACATTTCTGCTGTTCTCCCATGTGCTTACTACACTTTAAATATACTTTACTATATTCATTCTTTTTTTCAGGTTCTTCATGGTAACAATTTTTTTTTCCACCTCAGGGTTTTTGTACGTGTGCATAGAATGCTATTTTGTTTTTGTTTGCTTTAACTTAAGTATTACTTTATCATGGAAGCCTCTTTAACCCCTAACTGTGTTAGGAACTCCTTGTAAAATGGGAGTTTATTATCTCTTTATACCATAGTTGTATTTATATATATCTTCCTTGGCACTAAAAATAGTTTTATTCATTCTTTCAGCGGATAATTTATTGAGCATCTACTATGTTGCCAGGCACTAGGTTAGCAGCTCATTATATAGTAGTAAATGTAGTAATAAAAACATTGAGGTCATGTTTTCCATGTCTTTGGTTTTTCTAATCTAATTTCTAGTAATTTATTTTAACAGTATTTTTAAAAAGTATTGATCTGTGATGAACACTTCAAAAAATATCTTACCACAGGAATTTTCGAAACACTTGAAATACAGCACATTGAGGAATTAAGGCAGGTAGATAAGGATAGAGAATGATAGCATTGATGATAGTGGCATTAACTTCATGTAAAGATAATTAGAAGTTACTTTAGAATACTGAAAAGAAAAAGTAAGGGGTAGAACGGACCTGTGTGATATAGGACAGAGTGAAGGGCCCCCGCTGGCCGGCTACAGCCCCGCTAGTTCCTTAGGCACTGTGCCTGCATGGAGAACGTGGGCTGTGGTCTCCACGGTAGATTTCTTGTTAGACTGTCTAAGTTTAGGGCTTATGTATCTCTAACATTTTATGGTGAGAAGTTACTCCTTGTTACAATATTTGCTAACTAGTCACAGAATAATCTTTCTGTGTTTATTGTGCTTAATTTAAACAAGGCTATGTTTAGGAAAGAGTTAAGGGGCTAGCCCATCTTGGTTAGATAATCGTGATATTTTTGGATCATTTGTAAAACTGGTTAAAATTTATTAGTTTATCTTGTACTATTTCAGGTATTAAAAAGAATTCGAGTACAAATTATCAGAGCCCAGCAGATAGCACAAATGCCAGTGTAAACCTACAGAATTACGGGGAAGCGTCTCCAGATGCCGTCAGTACGACTTCAGACAGTGCTCAAGAAAATAACGACCTGGTAATCATTTCAGACAGGTTCTGTGAAGAGAAATGCCGCGGGCTTCATCTCATATTTAATATGTTCATATTTTAAGACATTAGTGTATAAAATGAATTGACGTAGATTGTGGGTGATTCACTTTGTTCTTTCTTGAAAATTCTCTTTGTACTCTTAAAAATTCTTCCCTCTTACTGAATTATTTTTCTCTGAATTTTACTTTAAAAAATTTTGGTTTTGTATTGAGGAGAGAAAGCTCTATCTTTTTTTATCTTTTAGTTTTCAATCTTTAGTTTCAATTTAAATATACTTGGAAACAGTTTGATAGTAAGGATGGTGGTTTCTGTGAGGGGCTTTTTACAGAACCAATATTATTAGTTTACTTAAGCCCTCTTCACCCAGTGCAATATTCTGTGGATGACCTAGAGAATATGTTCAGTTTTAATGGAAATAATATCTCACAGAAATGTCATGTAATTAGTGTTCATGGTCAAAAAATTCTTCTCTTGACTAAGAAGAAAAGGAGCTGAAGTTTATGACTATGATGTGATAACCACATTCATTTGATCACAAGTATATATTTGGTTTATTAGGCCATAGTTGTATTTTTAAAGGTTATAGTATTAGTTTCCTGTGGTTTTTTTTTTAGAATTTTGTTTTAATTACTTGGTGTACTAACATTATTTATGCAATCATTGTTAGATGTCAATCGTGATGTTTAAAATTACTGGTGTTAATGGGGAAATTGACATACGAGGAGAAGATACAGAAATCTGTCTTCAAGTGGACCAAGTAACACCAGCTCAGTTAGGCAATATCAGCCTTCGGCATTACCTTAGTAATCGTCCAGTAGGTGAGACTTTAATATGACTTCAACTTTTATTCTTTACGCAAATGATTTTATACATATGTATTATTTATACATACTATTTATACAAAAAACAATCGAACATAGAATTTCAAAACTAGACTGTTGTTTTATACCCATCCCTACCTCTTCTCAAATTGTACAATTTTAGATTATTTCCAGCTGCACAGTTTGGTTTTTTTTCACTTTTCTTTATAGCTCACTTAATACCATACTCTTACTCCTTTTTTTTATGGTCTTCCTAACTGAGTAATTCATTTTGAAGTGCCTTGAGTGTATGGTTGTATGGTCAATGCTATCTAATGTGTTATTTTTCCCAGCTTTCTCATTTGGTCGTTAGAAGGATAAAAAAAAAAACAAACAGGAAGGAAGTGAGGGAGGAAGGGAGTCAAGGAGGGAGGGAGAAAAGGAAAAGGAAGGGGAAAGGGGACCCATGGAAAAAGAAAAGTTTAGCATTAACATTTCAAACACTAATAAACATACGAACAAAGATTGTACTTGATTGTTTATGTTTGCTTGTGTTTGTTTTTCTTTAATGTGTGGATTTTGGATTCCTTTAATAGGAAGACCTTCATAGAATAGTTTTATGGCATAAGAAGTAGTAGGGAGGAGCGGTTTTTGACTAATGAAGATTTTGTTTTATTTCTACTTGAAGTAGATACTCTTTTTGTTTGAAGTTATTTCTGGTTCTCAGCTCCCTGAAGTGTGTATTGGTGTATGTATGTGTAGATACAGGTATAGATTGGTAAAAGACACTGTAAAGTAACATTTACTGAATTGTTTGTTTCAAATAGCTCTTATTTTTAAACAGGTTAATTAACCCTTGGTTTTCTTAATATGGGGAAAACATCTCCATACATATTCACATCCATGCTGAAGGAAAATAAACATTTTCTGTCATGAATTTAATGAGTGGCGTCTTCTTACGAGGGCACACAGGACAGATAAGTTTGATTCCTCAGCAACTGAAATTGCTCTGCCTTTCCAAAACAACTAGTTTGCTTCAGCTCATGGGTTTTATGAATTGCGAAATGGATATTTTTCTCTTTGCCGCTAGAAAGCTCATTTTTGGTCACCCTTTGGTACAGAAATTTAAATAATGTTTGAGTTTTCAACCTTCCTACCTAGTTTTTCCGCTTTCCTTCTGTCCTTATTTTTCTTCTGCTTATTTTTTATCTGATTATGCCATGTGCATGCTACCTCCTAATGTTTTGGGAGGCAGGTAAAATAAAAGAAATAGTTATTCTTAAGGGCCAGTTTAGTTAGTGGTTCCACTAGAAAATTACCTTGTTAAAAATTATGTATTCTGTGGATGCTTCATTGAAATTCTAAAATATATTTTTGAACTCAAGTATTTATATCTTTATAAGCTACATGAAGTTCTTTTTTGGAACAAGGGCAAGGCATAAGTAAATATAAATATTTAATATCCAGTTTTAATAAGGAACGTACAAAACTTCTGTCTTTTGTTACTTGTCGAGAAATGGCTTAGGAGTCACTTTAAATGTCATGACGGTTTCTGCATGACAGTCATCCATTATCTTACAAATGTATAGATTGCCATGTACCCAGACACACTCTTAAGTATCTGAGGTATGCATGGTATCAGATTTATATCATGGTACATTGTTTCATGTTACCAAAAAGTAAAAAATAGAGACAAGTCAACATTATTGCAATAGAATATTGTCTATAAAAATTGAAAATAGGATGGCACATGATATGTTGTGTATATATTGTAAATATCACAGGTAAATTACAGGTAAATATTAAAACTTTATTATTGCTTTACTGTTGTATAAAGCAACAATAACCTCTAATGACAAATACTCGAGAGTGACATTTTTGAGTAGCATCACAGTTATAATTTGATTTGTTCTTTTTCTGTAGGTTCTGATCACAAAGCAGTTATTCATTCCAAATCCTCTCCTGAGATTGCTCTGAGATTTGAAAGTGGGCCTGGTGCTGTGATACACTCTTTGCTTGCAGAAAAAAATGGATTTCTACAATGCCATATAGAAAACTTTAGCACTGAGTTTCTTACATCTTCTCTTACGAACATTCAACATTTTTTGGAAGATGAAACTGTTGCAACAGTGATGCCAATGAAGATACAAGTTTCTAACACAAAAATAAATTTAAAAGTATGTTAAATTTTTCACATTTTTGTATTATAAATGTTCACTTTGCTACCTGAACTTTGATTCATGCCTGAGAATATGTCTCCTCTGTAACATACTTTACCAGCATTTATTGAAGTAAATAAACTATTTATTTATTTAAAAAGAATAACACTATGTGTTAGTCTTTGTGATGAATGATGTAAAGATTCTTCTTAGAATTAAAAAAATATCAAAATAGAATGGGCAGTTTTCTCTCTATTTTAACTAAAGCACTTAAAGATAAATTTGTAACTCATTAAAAATATTGACTGAAGTAATGTTTTTTAAGAAAATAATTGCATTAACTTAATCATTTACTTGAGTAACAACACACTGATACTTTTTCTCCTGCAGGATGACAGTCCTCGCAGTAGCACAACGGTGTCCCTCGAACCAGCTCCCGTAACCGTCCACATTGACCATCTCGTGGTGGAGAGAAACGATGATGGCTCCTTTCATATCAGAGGCATGTATGAAAAAACAGGTCAAGTGAATACTTACTAAAATTTGAAATTAATTATTTACATGCCGATTATTTTTTCTCACTGTTATATGTATGCTCATATATAGGAATAGATGACTGAGGGACACTTTCAGTGCATTGTAATAAAATATTGCCTATGTATGGATCTACCTCAGAACTAACTCATCTGTCGTTTACAGGTATTTGCTTTTGAGAATTAAGAAGAGTTTTCAGTGAATGCTTTGAATGGCCCAGATTTCTCAAGTAGCTTGTTAAGAAATTTTGAGATATGCTGTGTTTTTCCTCTTTCGAAACAAATTTACTTAGCAAGCAGGAGCATTCAAAATAATCTCATTAGTAGCTGTTTCAAAAATTATTTATAGGTGTTTGTTGGTGTGGTAATGGTACTTCACCAAATACTTTTCTTCACTCCTTTCTCCCCAGCCCACCCCCACCCATATTCTAAGGTGTACTAGCAGCTGTTCTGGATGTGATTAAAGTTCATCATGAAGCAATACATGCTTTTATACCTTTTTTGCTTCATATACTACTTCACACTTCTGGGGAAAGTCTTTAAAACAATTATTGATTTTGCAGTAAAGACTTTAAAAAGAACTTGAAATAATTTTTCAGAAAATTTGAAAGATATGCTATAATTTGTTCTTCCAGTAAAATGTAGTTAATTAGGTAACTATTAACAAGACTACCAATGAGCGAAGAAGACAGAGAATGTTTGTCGTGTGTGTGTATATACATATGGGGTGTGTGTATATACCATGCCATTTATCATTAATTACTTTTAATAGTTGTATACTGGCTCTCAACATTTTTTTCTCCCCAACAAACATAGGGCCTGGCATATTCCCATCTGAAACAGTGGCCATTATACATCAATAGTCAACTGAAAGGGATGTGAGGAAGGGAGGGAGGGACTACCTCTCAATAGGTTATATCAGACTGTGTCTTTAAAGGTCTGTGGTAAGCAACTCTTTGCCATACACACCCTAAAAATTATTAGCATAATGCTTCCTAACTTGGAATGTGGGAAGATTTATTTGATTGGTAAACCTAAAGAAAGATAACATCTAAATTCAGAAGACTGTCCATATGACCAGAAAGGAAAAATGAATAGAAATTTTCTGTTTGAATAAACAGAGAACTGTTGAAGTGTATGAGGTCAAATATTTATTAAGCACCTACTGTTGTACTATTAACAATTCATACTTGAATAATGCTTCCCAGTTTATAAAGTTCTTTTACGTTAAACATAAACTCATTCTTACCATAACCCTTTGTAATAATTACGACAAGTATTCTTATCACTTCTGTTTTGCAAATTACTGTAAGAAATTGAAGTTTATAGAAGTCAGGTGACTAGTTCAAGGTGAAGGAGTTAGAAAGTAAGTGGCAGGTCCTGCACTAGGGAAAAGTATATGTTGCTGCAAGACAGTGCAAGTTTCATCCTTAGGGGCATGGACTTGTTCATCAAAATTTGTCCTAAGAACTTGAAAGAAGAACCTCTTTTAAAGCAAATGTAAGGAAATGTGTTTTTCTGTAGCAGTAGACTTCAGTCACCGTGTCGTTCACGGGTTCTCTTCCCATTCCCTTCCAGTCCCCCCGTCTTTTTACCTTCTCCACCTTTTTGCCTCTCTGTCCCCATTCCCTCCCTTCTTATCTCTTCCTTTTCTCTTCCCACATCTTTCTGCCTTCTTCTCCCTTCTTTTTTTCTTTGAAAAATATGTTATTGTTTATGCTATTGCAGTTGTACCAATATTTCCCTTTGTTCCCCTCCACCCAGCCACCCCAGGCCCAGAGGCAATCTCCACACTGTTGTCCATGTCTGTGGGGGCATTCATATGTGTTTTTACACTAATCCCTTCCCCTTCTTCAACCACATATAACTTTCTTACATAAATCATTGCTTATAGCGATACTTTTTATAAAATTTCTAGTTATTTCATGATATTCTATTAATTGAATAATATTTCCCTTTAACTTTTTATTTCAGGCTAGGTTATGACAGTATTTTATGCACTAGTATCCAGAAATCCCATTGGAGTTTATCACCCACAGGCCATCGTATCCTTACCAATATACGGATGTCTGGTCCCCTGATTGAGGTCGTGCCAACAGACCATACCCTGCCCCCCTACCCCCAACGCCAACGTGGAATCTCTTCTTATGTACCATCATTTTAGTTTGTTCAGCCTCTGAAGAGATTACTCTATCCAGCAAAACTTTCATTTAGAATGGAAGGACAGATAAAGTGCTTCTCAGATAAGATCAAATTCAAGTTCATCATCACCAAGCCCTTATTATATGAAATGTTAAAGGGACTTGTCTAAGAAAAAGAAGATAAAAAAGATGAACAGTGAAAGGACAGCAAACTCACAGTTACTAAGAACCACACCTAAAACAAAAGCAAACTAAAAGGACAGCTAGATCAGGAGCGGAACCATAGAAACGAAGATCTCATGGAGAGTTAGCAACAGGGGAGTGGGAGGAGAAGAAGGGGGGAGGACAGAAAATAAGTAGCATAGACAGTGGGGAGAAAATAGATAGGGGGGGGCAAGAATAGTATGGGAAATATAGAATCTAAAGGACGTGAGACACATGGTCATAAACTAAAGGGGGGAATGGTAGGGGTGGGGGGGTGCAAGGTGGAGGGGAATGAAGGGGGGAATAGAACAACTGTAATGGTATAATCAATCAAATCAAATCAAATTTAAAAAATGGGATAATAAACAATAAGATACAATAGGTAGTGCAACTAGTGAAATTGAATGGATCATTACGAGAGATTACATAGTCTGCTTGGTCCCCCGAAAGATCGAACTGTAAGAGGATTATGATACATTCACTCAAATGTACTCCAGCCCTGATGAACTTTTAAATGAGATTAAACAGTGGATGACTCTCCCTTCTTTTCTCTCCTTCTTTACCTGTTTTTACATACACACCCTCTCCCTCTCTTCCATCCTTCCTCCTCTTTCTTCCTTTACTCTCCGAATCTCTCATTTCTCCTCTCCATACTTCTTCCTCTTCCCTCTCTCCCCCCTTTCTCTCCTTAGTCTACCTCCCAGTGATTGATATAAAATAGGTTTTAGAGTTGTTTAATCAGTGGCTTTTTCATTATTCTTAGAATCCCATGAGTAGTAAGATGTAGGCTAAATAGAATAGGTCCTGGGTCTTCTGTTATCCTTACTACAGCAAGGTAACTCAGCTTTTATTTTTAGTTCATTTTAGTGTTTTGAGTCATATTTAATTTTTAAAAAGTTTTGCTTTAAAAGTTTGAAAACCAATAATGAATCACATGGTATTTTAGGAATGCTATTTAGTCTTCTTTAACTTCTTTTTCTTAGATAAGTCCCTTTAACATTTCATATAATAAGGGCTTGGTGATGATGAACTCCTTGAATTTGATCTTATCTGAGAAGCACTTTATCTGTCCTTCCATTCTAAATGAAAGTTTTGCTGGATAGAGCAATCTTGGTTGTAGGTCTTTGGATTTCATGACTTGGAATACTTCTTTCCAGCTTCTTCTTGCCTACAAGGTCTCTTTTGAGAAATCCGCTGACAGTCTAATGGGAACTCCTTTGTAGGTGACTGTCCCTTTATCTCTTGCTGCTTTTAGAATTCCCTCCTTCATTTTAATCTTGGCTAATGTAATGATGATGTGCCTTGGTGTGTTCCTTCTTGGGTCCAACTTCTTTGGGACCCTCCTACCCAGCAGTGCAAAACAGCAGAGCGTGCCGCCATTTCCCCGCTCTGACCACGCCCCCACATACAGTGTCACAACCCAGCGACCTGGGAGTCCAAGGCTTCATTCCTCACACTTAAAGGGCACGAACAGACCAAAAATGGCTCAAGAAGAGCTCAAAGCCCCGGAACCTATAAATCTAAGCGATGAAGAAATAGCAACACTCTCAGACGCACAGTTTAAAACACTGGTCATCAGGATCCTCACAGTCTTCTGAGGTTGTTTCCTTCTGGGAATCTTTTTAAGGGGGGAAATTACATTGAGCAGATAGTACTCTTTTATTTACACAATCCAGTTTGACTTAATATACTGTTATTCTCTCATTCCATGTAATTTTACTGAACCTGGCAATCATATGACACTCTTATCACAGAAATGAGAATAGGACCCGCTTGGCCAATCAAAAGATTTCAGTGCTTGGGACATGGTGACTAGTAAATGATTTGTCTGTGACCCAAGCATTCTGAGCCATTTTTTTGGTGAATTGAGGAGGACACTAAGGGGTCACAGGCTATGAAACTTTCTTGTTTGAGTCACCAGTGGCTACCTTTGTTATCATATGACTGAACCCACACAGAGAAAAAGAAAAGTAGACCTAAGATGTAGAGTCAGGTTCCTAAAGTGATACTGTTCTGAGGACACATGAATCCTAGTATCCAGCCCTGCCTGAAGCATCATCCCTTGGAGATCTCTGTTAAAGAAGCAAATATATTTCTTTTTTAAAAAGCAAGTTTGAGACGGTCTTCTATTACTTATAATCTAATGTCCTCTCTGACCCAAAAAGTAAGAAAAAAATGTTGATGTATAAAGATGTTCCTTGCCTTTTTAATAATTACTTCTAATAAAAACATTTTTGAGATATAATTCTAATGTCATACCCTTCACACAAAGTATACAGTTTAGTGGTATTTAGTATACTCACTAATGGTGCCGTCATTATCATGGTCAGTTGTAGAGCATTTTCATCACCCTCAAAAAACCTCTGTCTACTAGCAGTCTCTCCCCATTCCTTCCCTAGCCCAGGGCACCCCCTGCTCTGCTGTCTGTCTGTGGATTTGCCTACTCCTGACGTCTTGTACGAATGGAATTACACAGTATATGGTCTTTTGTGACTGGTTTCTTTCATTTAGCATAGTTTCATGATTCATTTATGTAGTTGCATTTATCAGTACTTTATTTTTCTGCATGGCTAAGTAATAATTTCATTTTATGGACACTACATTTTGTTTATTCATAACTTGATGGGACATTTGGATTTCTGTTTTTTGACTATTGCAAATTATGTAGCTATAAACATTTGTGTATATGTTTTCATTTCTCTTGGGTATGTATCTAAGAATGGAATTATTGGGACATATGGTAACTCTAAATTAATCATTTCAGGAACTGCCAGACCATTTTTCAAAGTGGTTGCACTGGTCTGCATGTTTACCACTAGAGTATATTGAGAGTTCCAACTTCTCTACATCTTTGCCAACACTTGCTTTTATCTGACTTTGATTATAGGCATCCTACCTAGTGGGTATGAAGTGATGGTATCATTATGGTTTTGATATATACTCTTCTAATGGTTAATGATGCCAAGCATTTTTTTTTATGTCTTTATTTGCTATTTGTATATCTTTGGGAAAATGTCCACATCCTTTGCCTACGCTCTAAATGGATTATTTGTCTTTATTATTGGGTTTCAGGAATTCATTATATATTGTAGAAATAAGTTCCTTATCAAATGTAATTTGGAAATATTTTCTTCTATCCCGTGGATTATCTTCTTACTTTTTTCAGAGTGTCCCTTGAAGCATGAAAAAAAATTTTTTTTTAGTAGAGTGCAGTTCATTTGGGTTGTTGTTGTTACTTTCGTTTCTTTTGTGCTTTTGGTGTAATATCTAAAAATCCATGAATACATTGAAATTATGAGATTTACTCCTATGTTTTCTTTTTAGAGTTTTATAGAATTAGCTGTAAGTTTAGCTATTTGATCTGTTTGAGTTAATTTTTGTATTTGGTGTGCTGGTAAGGACCATAGACAAATCGGTTTATTTCTGAACTTGTAAGTGTATTTAATTTATCTGTAAATCTAATTTACAGTGTAGCAGCACTGCACTGTCTTGATTACCATTTTGTTCAGGGGTAAGTTCTGAAGTTGGGAAGTGTGAGTCCTCCAACTTCAGGTGTGTGTGTGTGTGTGTGTGCATTTGTTTTCACTGTTCTGCGTTCCATGCGGTACCATGTAAATTTTAGAATCAGCTTGTTAATTTCTACAAAGAAGCCAGCACAATTTTGATAGGGATTGTGTTAAAGCTGTAGATCAATTTGAAAAGTGGTGCCATCTTAACAATATTAAGTCTTTTCATCCACGAACATGCAATTTTTTCCATTTATTTAGGTCTTTAATTTCTTTCAACAGTGAAGTTTTGGAGCCGAAGTTTTTATTTTTGTTAAATTTATTCTTAAGCATTTTATTTTTGAATGATGGTTTAAATGGAATTGTTTTCTTAATCTGTTTTAAGGTTGTTCATTATAAGTGTTTAGAATAACAAGTGATATTTGTATATTGATCTTGTATCCTGCAACTTAGCTAAACTCATTCATTAGTTCTAAGAGTTTTTAGTATATTCTTTGGTTTTTTTTCTATATGCAAGGTTATGTCATAAGTGAGTAGAAGTAATTTTACTTCCTTTCTAGTGTGGATGCCTTTTATTTCTTTTTCTTGCCTAATTGCCTTGGTTAAAACCTTTAGTACATTGTTAAATGAAAGTGGTGAGAGCAAACAACCTTGTGTTATTTGTGATTTTATCAGAGAAGCATGCAGTCCTATACCATTAAGTATGGTGTTGGCTGTGGGTTTCTTGTGGTTAACCTTTGTCAGATTGAGAAATTCCCTTCTGTTCTTATTTGCCAAGTGTTTTTATCATGAGAAAGCATTGGATATTGTGAAATGTTTTTTTCTGTATCTGTTGAGATAATCATGTGACTTTTGTTCCATTTTGTTAATGTGATGTATCATGGCAATTGTCTTTTGGATATTACCTCAACCTTGCATTCCTGGGATAAATCCCACTTGGCCCTAGTATATAATTTTTATACATATATCACTGGATTCAGTTTTCTAATATTTTGTGGAGGATTTTTGGGTTTATATTTATGAGCATATTGATTTTAGTTATGTCTGGTTTTAGAATAGGGGTAATACTGGCTTCATAGAATGAATTGAGAAATGTTACTTCTATTTTTTAAAGAGTTTGTAAAGATTTGGTGTTAATATTTTCTTAAATGTCGGGTAGGATTCACCAATGAAAGCATCTGGGCCTGGGCTTCTCTCTGTGGGTAGTATTGGTGATTACTGATTCATTCTCTTCACCTGCTGTATGTCTGTTCACAGTGTGTATTCTTTCTTAGTCTATTTTGGTAGTTTATGTCTTCCTAGGACTTTTTCTATTTCATCTCAGTTATCTAATTTATTGGAATATAGTTGTTCATAGCATTCCTTTATAATCATTTTTATTTCATTAAGATTTATAATAGTGTCCCCTGTCTAATCATTTTTTACTTTTGGGGGGAGGTTTATCTAACTAAAGTTTTGTCAGTTTTGTTTTATCTTTTCAGTGAATGAGCTTTTGGTTTTATTGACTTTATTGTTGTTCTATTTTAGAATAATGTCTTCATACTATTAGAGATATGTTTGTTTTAAAATTAGTTTTTCATAACAGTAAATGAGATATATCAAGTATTTGAAAATGTGGTCTGAGCATTTTATTTGTTTTATCAGATTCTCAGATACTTAACACTGGAAGTGATTTGAAAGAAAATGTCACACATGAATCAGTGCTGCTCACCAGTGGAAAGTACGACCTGAAGAAACAGCACAGTGTCACGCAAGGCACTCAGACGAGTCCTGAGGCTCCTTGGCCTCCTCAGTCAGTTAACTTTGTTGAGTGCTCCTTTGGCTTTACTAGGGAACAGGTAATGGGTAAACTAATTTATTCTCTTTCAGTTTCAGCAATTAAAATAAATGGTACATGCTAAATAATTAAGAGGTTATTTACTTATTTAAGCACCCTTTGCTGAGTGCCTCTTGTGGACTCCCACCCTGTGTTAGATGTTGGGGATGGCCTGTTGAGCATGATGGGAACCGGCCCAGCCTTCAGCGGGGCTGCCTCTAACCAGGAGATGGGGGAGTGAATGTGGGCGAGTGCTGGTTTCTCATTCTGGAATGCCTCCTGGGGAATAAAGTCACGTTGATGTCTTTTTTTATAATGTCTTATTTTTAAGTTGGAAGGATATTATAATATTTCAGAAAAATATTTAAAACAACTTTAGTACATTCTAACCTCCTAAATAGTGCTATTAATACTTTATTTTCCTCTCAGGCTTTTTTCCATAATTTTATTACACACTTGTTATTTTAGTGTATATACTTTATTGTTTTTTACCTAGTATTGTTTAACAGTTATTTTTTTTTATATTGATACGTATGCTTCAAATTCACTTTTAATGGCAGGTAATGTGGATGTGGATATAATCTCATATCTAAACTTTCTGTTAACATTTGTTAGTATTTGAATTGCTTTTTGTATTTGCCATATCATAAATAAAATGTCCAGCAGAAGTTTAATTCTGCATAGTAGAACCACAGAATGACTTCATTTATGTTCAGCAGGGTTTGTTGGATGTCACCTGTGAGCCAGGATACAGAGTTGAACAGTGTACCATCCTTATCTGTTGAGAAACTCAAAGTCTAGTGGGAAAGACGGGAGTGTGTGATTGGTAGTTACAACATACTGTTGCGATGCTGCACTAGAGATTGAGGAAATACAGGAAGGTACCCAGCTTGGTTTATAAAGCAGGAATTTTTAAGATGGGACTAAAAGAAGTCTGAGAACTCTTTGAAACTAAATATATATATTTTGATGTATCTGTAAATGCATTTTTCTGGGATAGAAAGTACTTAGTTTTATCAAATCTTCATAGTGAGGGGTTAGGGAATAGTTCTAAGAGGATAAAGTACTTGAACTAAGTGTTAATTAGGAGGGACACCTTTTGGCCATCTAGATGAAAATGCCTAATGAGACGGTCAGAATGTGGGTCTGAAGCTCGAGAGGGTGGTTTACACTGTGTCGGGCTGCGTGTGATAGTGGGAGCCGTAGCAGTACATGCAGTCACCTAAGAGAGTGACTCGAGTGATAACAGAAGGTGACCCATCCCAGAGGCTAGTAGAATATTAAAATGTAAAGGTTCTTAAACAGCAGAGGAAAAGCCCACATGTGGAAAGGGATAAACACGAAAGAGCTGTGGTATAAAACGCAGAAAAGGAGAGACACTTAGGAAAGTGAGGTGAGTTCAGCACTGTCTAAAGCCACAGAAAGGTCCAGAGAAATTAAAATGAAACTAAATCAGCGTTAGATTTTGAAATTAGGATTTAATTCGTGTTTTGAATTGCTGAGTCAAAACTTGTGGACCTTTTAAAGGGCTTGAAATGTGTTTCCACCTGGCTTCTCAAGGCAGTTTTCAGCATAAGTGCATCTTCACCAGCACTGGGTGTTTTTACTGTTCCAAGGGTCATACCTTTAGCTACTATATAAATTATCTGTGTTTTCTGAAAATTATTGAATTCTCTGATTTTTCAAATTTGTCATTTCAGCTCTTGGAAGAGAACGAATCTCTTAAGCAAGAATTGGCTAAAGCTAAAATGGCTCTTGCAGAGGCGCACTTGGAAAAAGATGCTCTTCTTCATCATATAAAGAAGATGACAGTCGAATAGTGGGAGTGGCAGTCCGAAGCTCAAACTGTAACTCTGGAGGCTGTATTTATGCTGTGATGTTTACCAGTTAGCGAGAGAATTTCCTTTTCATGAAAAAACAATAAAATGAAATGGAACATGATGAAGTGGTGACTATTCCAAAGCCAGTTTAGGAAATACTAGGTACGAGCATTACAATCTTTTGGTTGTTTTGTGTTTTAGAGTTGAAACCTCTTTTAAACTGGTGTGATAGAGGGAAAGTCAACACATACGGTAAAATAATTCCATGCCTAATGAAAAGAAGCTGTCATTTCCTAATTTTGATACCACACTATAGGCATTTTTTAAAAGAAAAATGAAATCTATTGTGTTCCACAGATAATAATTACTATTATTTACAAAGTTGCAAATGCTTTTAAGGCTAATGTAAAATAAAAGGCTTACATTTTAAATGTTATTAAAATAATGTACTTAAATCTATAATTATTTAATTACTGTAAAAAATCCAATCAGATTAATAAATTATATAAATACCGGGTTTGAAAGTTCTGGAAAATCATCACCTTACTGAACTTATTAAGTAACTTGGAGGTGTGAAAAAGAAATTATTTTAAATGATGGGTAAACTGTGTAAGTTGAAGCTATAATTTTCCACAAGATGGTATAAGTGTAAAAATAAAAAGCATAAACTATAAAAAGCAAAACATTAGAGTATAAGGCCAACTGATTTAAAAAACATTACTTGTACATTCCTTGAAATATTTATTGTTATAAGCAAAAGAATAATTTAACTATCCCACTAAATTTGTCAGCATTTATAACTGTAATAATTTTTATTAATACTATTTGTATGATTTCTTTACCTTTATCTTTTCTCTGTTTAAGGAGGGGAATGTTTTCAGAGAATTTTCTTTACACATACAGAAACCAATTTGATACCATTCTTGTAGTATCAGATTTAGGTAGATGTTTGCACATACCCAATTTATATAGCTAGTTTTGATTAAAGTTCTTTGTGACATATATACTTCTATGATAATAATATTGCTAAATTCTGAATTCTATTTTCTAGGAATTGTTACGGTTGAAGCCAACAAGAGACACTCTCAGTCATGCATTATGAAATACAAGTTCATGAGTGTTTGAGAAAGAGAGGCTTTTAAAGATTTAAAATATATTTCTGATAGAATTAAACTAAGTGGGGGTCTATTTTAAAATTTAAATTCTTAAACATAAACATATCGTAGGTAGAAGGTAAAACAGCTGGACTGCTTTTCTTTAACATACTTGAACATTTTAAACGATGTGACGACGCTCTATGGTGCTTTGCTTATTGGCATGACTTACATCGCCATCCCTGTGTCTGAGTGCTCGGAGGAGAACACATGTTTCGTTACTTAAGTGTTGGAGTGACTTAGCTTTTATTGAAAACAGTACTGGCCTTTTTTTCTTCTGTAACACCCATTTTCACTGACATGATTTAAAATACAGGCCCTGTTTTGGGAGGTGAGGATACAGCAAAGAACAAATTTAAATTGTTAATGGTTTACCTCAGAGTATTTAAAAGTTATGTGAAACCATGTTAATCTAAAACTTTGTAGTAGTTGTCTTAGATTAAAAGGGAGGTCTAATTAAAGATTTGAGCTGTATAGCTAATATCTTTTTTCTTTTGATTTATGGTACGTATTCAAGAAATGCAGCCTCTCATATAGAAAAGCAGCTTTGATGAGAAGTTAACTTCTTCAGAGTTGACATTGCTTCTCAGGATTGACCTATTTGCTCTCTGTAAATTTTAAATTTGTGGTATATTTTAGTTAGTGTTATAGAAGCCGAATTTTTAAAATATTTTTTCCATTGGCCTTCTCAAGAAAGTCGTATACAGTAGAGATGCTAACTAATATGGATCTGAGCATTCCGTGTGCTTTGTTGGATTTTTAAAACATGTATAGTGTGTGCTGTTTTTATAGAGATTTAAAATTCATAAAACACTTCCAAAAAACACTGTCTCATGTAATTTCCACAAAAGCAATGTGGGAGGTAGGTATTATTCACATTTTAGAAATTAAATAAAAACCCTAAGGCTCAGAAAAGACAAGTCAACTTGATTGAAATCACAATTAATACCCTGCTTTTTTTTACTTAAATCCCAGTTATATGGTCATTAATTCATACATTTTGCCATGGGTGGGGAGCATCACTTACTGTCTTTTAATCCATTTTTCTTTTAAAGATAAATATAATACTTTTAATGGTGTGTGTGTGTGTGATAGGTATTATTCAAACTGCTTAAATGATAGTGAGAGGATTTTTTATTGCTTCCGTGAATTCCAGCCTTTTCGGTGGTCAGAAGTATAGGAATAAGCCTATACAAGACTTACCAGAGTCCTTACATGACTGCAAATTACAAATAAAGTTGCCATATCTTGAAAATATTTTTTCTAAATCTCTAGCAGAGATATTAGTGATCAGGGAAAATAAATGGTACTTGTGTTTTGCATTTCAATTTTGTGAATGTGAAAAACATTTTCTCAGTATCTTGTTTTTATTTTTTTTTCTCATTTTATCTTAAAATTTCAGAAGGTCACCTTATGGTAATAGTTGTGATGAACATTATTTTTAAGTCATGTTAGAATGGCTGCATATGATTGCAGGCAATTATATGTGGCTTTTTATTGTCGTTATTGTTATTCAATACTTGAGTTATAACTTCCTCTTTAACAAGTTTTTATTAACCTCAGTTTTTCAAAGCATCTTCTATTTCCGTGAATGGCAACACCATCACCCTGCTTTTCAAACTAGTAACCTTGAATTCACCTTAGGCACCATTCTCTCTCTAACTCTCTCTCTACCCTTACCCCTGTCAATTCATTACCAGGTTTTGTCATTTTACCTTGCAAACATCCCTCCAATTTGTCTAGTTCACTTCTCACCACCTTTCTAATCCAGGCTACCATCAGCACCTTTGCCTTGAATTACTTGAATTGCCTCCTAACAGGTCATCCTACAGCCACTCTGGACCTCTTTGGTTCATTCTGTAGGTGCAGGCAGAGTTCTTGTTTTTGAAGTGCAGTTTTAATCAAGGTAGCCCACCTATCCCTTTCTTACCCTTAGCTTAAAATACTTTAGTGACTTTTCATTGGTCTTATGATGGAAAAAAAAAACTATCTTGTAACCTACAAGGTCATAGATTAGGGCCACCATTTACTTTATATGGTAACTCTAAGCATTGAAAGACTTAATGTCTCATAAAATTAAAACTGTGCCAGTAGCTGGCACATCACCTTAAAAAGCACCCAGTAGAAGATACTATTGCTATTGCTTCGTTAGCCTCATTGTGTAGCATGTTTCAGTTACTTTGTGTTCTGCTTTGGTTGCACTTTAAGTATCTGGAATAAGTGAGAATAGTGTGCTTCTTCCACATTGGAAACTTGTTCGTGCCATTCCTTTGATTTGAAATACCTTTCGCTACTCATCGTCTAGTTAATTTCCATTTGTCTTTAAGATCTCCACTCATCCCCTTATTTCTGTCACAAAACAAGACTGCTGTTACACGTAATTACATGAACACATATCTCTAGTTAGCTTTGAACACTTTTGTAATTGTAATATGTATTTGTTAATGTAGACCCTCTAAATGGTAAACCCCTGACAACAGGAATTATGTTTTTGTTGTTGTCATCGTTCAACTTTGTATTCCTTATCTCTCATACAGTGCCTGGCACACAGTAGGTGCTCAATAAAATTGTTGAAAGAATAAAATGGATAAGGTACCAAGGATGTTTTCAGGTATTGAGTTCTTCCTCTCAGTTGGATTGATGGGCGGGGGAAGGTAGGCTGAGAAGTAGGTAGTGGTTGTTTAAAGGGACAGACTCCCTTATCCATAGGGGGAAAGGTAGGGAAATGGAGAAATTGGCCATATTGTATTGTTTAGAATTTTGAATATCTGAACCTATAGTTAATTTATCACAGGCCATCCCAAAACAAAATTAGCATATCATGTCATAAAACTACTACAGTGCCAGAATGTCATCTGTCTTTTATTGCGGCATATGGTGTTGTGGCTGTCGGGATCTGCCAGTTCTGTCAGCTCAGCAGAGTGGAAAGAAGGCCAAGAGACTAATAGCTGAAAGGTTTCGATTTTGAGAACTTGACTGATAACATAGTATCTATTGTGCCTAATTCTTAAACTGCAAGCCATCTCATTTTAGCTTATGCCTAGAGATGCTAAGGGAAGTAAATTTTTAACTTCTATTTCCTTTTGGAATAAGATAAGGAAAGTTGGGAACACACAGGATATAAAAACACTAATGCAGTAATTTTTAAAACAATTACAGTATAAAATTTAAAAAATGTTTTGCTGTCTTTATTGAGAAATAAAATAATTAAGGTAACATGAAGCAAAAAAGCAAGAATGGCTGTTTTTATAAACCATTAGATATTACTTAATGGATTATCATAAGGTGGAGGGAAATGCATGTTGATGTCACAGTATTGAAATTCAGCATATCAGTTGCCAACACTGCTGTATAGTCCTCGGTTTATAGTCTTTGTATAATCATAGGTTTGAGAATTTGAAACTTTTAAGAGAAAAGTTTTAAAAACTATGAAACCAACTTAATATCTTTTTTCTATTTACATGATGAAACATTTATGATAAAACCTTTTTGATTTTGAAAAATAAGGTACCTAAATCACTAAGAAGAATAATCTGGATTTTAAATGACTGAAAAAATTGGACAAAAAGGCAATACTTATAAATCAGATATTTTCAATTTGTGTTATCAATCAAAAGTTGATTCATTCTGTACAAGTTATACTAAGTGTTAAGTAAAATTTCTCATTTTTGACTTTCAATTTTTATGTGAAGAAATAGTAGATTGTTTAGGTGAAGAAATACTTGGTGTTACAGTGGTGAGGAGAGTACAGTGAGGTGACTAACCTTTTTCTTATTATCATTTAGCAGAATTGTTTTGGTTGGTATGACAGAAAAAACTCAAATACTGAGTCATAGATGTCATCAAGAATAAAAGACATAGGCATATGTGAATAAAGGTGTAAATAAGTAGAGATGAGAAGAATCCCTGTAGGATATGGGTGAAATAAATTTATAGGGGGATGACCAGGGTCCATCCTTCACAGTATTTTAAGTCACTTCCCATTAAAATAGATACACAGTAAAATCGGAACAGGAGCACTTAAAAATAGCCACCATGAGCAAATCCAGTGTAAGGAAATATGTTGAACAAAATGTCGATAATTAAGCACTTGAGAAAGATCTATGATAAAGAATTCACTTGGTTTATCATATGAATTATAGCCTAAAGCAAAAAATGAAGCAAAAATTCTTCACTTTAATGTGCAAAAATTGGCACATGTAAAAATTCTTCAATAATGATATGCCCACAAAAAATACATCTATTGGAATCTTAAGATTCCAAATTTGACATTAATATTCAAGGTACTCATTGCTGTTAGAGACATTTTATTGGTTAATAATAATGTGGCATCTTAGCATTTTGTCTGAATTCAATATATTTACTTGATAATTCTTATTAGCATAATTAGCATAGATATGATAATCATTTGGTGCTTCTCTCTGGTTTATTTTTACTTTCTTTATTCCTTACAGTCTAATAAGATTTTTCCACAGAAAACATTAAAGCTATGAATGCAAAAGAGTTCTAAAGAGGAATATAAAATGAGCAAATAAGGCAACTTTTTAATATTTTATTTCTAGAAATTTGTAGAACTTAAGGCTTTCTCATATTGTAATACCAGTATAAAAACGTGAAAGATAAGTATAGGTTCTTGCTTCATTAGCATGTTTGAGAAGTACCATAATGTATGTAAGCCTTTCATCCATTTTAATGGTAATTTAGTTAAGACTTTGCAATTCTTACCTGTATCTTTAGTAAGTCCCCCCTCTTTTTTGCCTTCAGAATTGTTTCATGTTAATATGTTTTGTTGAGTAGGCTTCAGCTTTGAATTTCTTTTGATTCACTTTTTGTGTAGTTCCACTATTATGTCTAGATGCCATTATAGAGTGACCAGTTTTAAAAACTAAAGTAAAACTAATATATACTGCTAAGTCCCTTTTGCTATGTAAAACAACATAATGTTCTGGTCAGGAAGGTTGGTACCATTATTGCACTTATCACAACCTCCTTTTACTCTTGGTTTTATTTTTAATTTTTTAGGCATAATTGCTTAGATTGTCCACTAGTTCTAAAATACCTTGATATATCTTGTGAGCATACTAAGTATTTTTATTAATATTACTTCTTATTTTCTAGTTACATAGATTACTTGGCATTTACATTTATGTAAACATAGAATACCTTTTCTCCTTTACATACCATGATCATTTCCCCATATCACTGTTAGTTCTTTATAAACATAATCTTAATGATTGTATAATATTTCATTGAGTAAGTAGATCACTAAAATTTAACAGTTGCTGTATTATTAATTATTTTGGGGTTTCCTCATGTTTTACTATTGTAAATAACTGTAATGAACATTTTTGTGCTGGAAGATTATATAGGTGTTGGAATCTTAGGATAGATTCCCAAAAATAGAATAACCACATCAAAGGCCATAGTTTCCTATGATCAAAACTACTTTCCAAAAACCTCAACAAAACTTGTATGCTCAGAAGCACTGTCATCAGTAGTGAACATCATTATTAATAATAAAGCAAACAAAGGCTGAAATGAAAGAATATTAGACAATATTTCAGTGTCATAGAGAAGGAGAAAGTGTCAGTAAAGGTAAATGCGTATGTAGGGGAGCTTCATCCAGCAGAGCTCCCCTGCTGCCAGGGATGCGAATAAGTGTACCAAGACATGATCTGCTTGGGGAGGAAAGGCTGACCAGTCTCTCAAAGGAGGAAGGTGTCAAGCCCTCTCTCAATGGGCTTTTATTGAGTTTAGCTTGCATAGGGATGCATGTCAAAGAAAGGAGGTGTGGTTTACAGGTAACATGTCTGGGATCACAGGGTTTCATTTGAGTCCAGGGTCTGGTTGACAGGGTGACACCAATTGGCTGTAAAACTTTGGGGAAACAAACTTTGTGCTTGGACCCTTAACGTTTAAATTAGGGACACTCTTAGTAAAGCAGGTTTCATAGGACTTTATGCATTTTTTAAAATTTTATTGATTATGCCATTACAGTTGTTCTATTCCCTCCCTTCATTCCCCTCCACCCTGCACTCCCCTGCCCCCTGCATTCTTTCTTAGGCCTGATAGCCCCCTTCCGGGGATCACCCATTCTGGCACAGGGCTGCATCCCCCTTCAGCATTGTTTCAGACCAGAGTCAGGTGGGGGAAGCAAGGCAGCCAAGGAATCAGACTTTTTTTACAGATAGAATAAGGACTCAGGCTATGATAAAGCTGAGGGGTGAGGGTTTTTTGTCCCTTCTCCACAATCCCCTAAGTCCTTTCCTGATGGCTTCTTCATGACTGTGCCTGTCTTAGGTTGTTTCTTGAGGAATCTTACCTATCATTAGCTATCCAGCCATTCTCTAGGGGCCAAGTAGGGTGAAGTAAAGGAGGCAGAGGCTGTGCCCCTGCTAGAAGAGTAAGTTTTGTCTCAGTGGCTTATGGTTCCCTGGTCCCCTAGCCATGGGGCCTTTTTTCCTGTTGGTGGGGTTATAGCTCCTGAAACCAGGCAGGATGGTTACCAACATGCGTAAGCAGTTAGATATTCTTGTAATAATCGTATGTACCTTTTGTCTACAAAATGAAGCATCTTCTTAAACAATTGTTAGTCAAAGCAATGACTTTGTTTTATAATAAAATTTTATTTTTATATAATTTAGGAGACTGAGACATTAAAAATTATTTGTTTTTGGATATAATGTATAAAGTATAATGTGTGACATTAACAACTGAACACAGTAGGAGCAGAAGTGAGACGTTGGAGCCTGAATATATTTTGAAGATGCATCTGTTGAGCATTTGGATTGGATGTGTGGAAGATAAGACCAACTCTAGAGTTGGTGTATGGTTTCTGACCTGAGCGAGCAGTTTACTGAAATGCCTAATGGAGAGTTCAGCCTCTCTGGACCTGAAATACTGTGCTGTGATTGCACACCCACTTACCAAACAAAATCCCTGCAGATAACTCTCCTTCTTAGATGAAGTTGTGAGCCATCTATTGTTACTTGAGCACATCTCTTTTGTGTAAAGTATGTATGTAAGTGTGTAAGGTTTGATGGGTGTTAGCTCCTTCCTTAAGCATTTATTATACAAGGCTCAGCACAAATAATGCCCCCTTTTTATTAGAAAATCATAGGTGTGTAATTCTGTAATATAACAATATCACACTCAAGTATACCATATGCCATTTTAGGTGAAATGTTCAAGTTTATAAATCATTACACCCATATTATTACCCTACCAACTATACTCAAGCAGGCCTTACTTCTGCCAGGCCTTGTGGATGAAACCAGGAGAGGTTGAAACAGAGCTCTTTGTCATTCACTGTTCATGGGTCAGAGGTGAGGAAGAACCAGGACAGGAGACCAAGAAGCAGTGACAGGAGGAAAATTGATTAAGAAGGAGGAAATGACTGACTGTTAAATGCTGCACAAAGATAAAAAATGTGAGGGGTGAAAATCGACAATTAGATTTAACAATAAACAGTTTCAATACAAAAGGGCAAGACCTGTTTG